GAGTGAATTTTTGTAATGTGTTATTATGTTCTTATGCTGGTTAATCAGTGATCATTTGAATTTGTTGGTTGTTTGACTAAGTATAAATTTGTATACCTCGATTACTGCTTATAAATAAGCAATCCTTTGCTGCTTCTTATTGAAGCTCAAATCTTGGCTCAATACATGTTTCAAAAAGTGATTGAAACTACTAGTTGTAATTGAAAAAAACTTGATAAGTAAGATGTCGATAGTAGTAAAACTGTTGTAGGATACTGAAATGTGTTTTTGGCTGTAATTCATTTCGAGTAAACGAGTTGCATGCTTTTCTTTGTTTTGTGCTTCCGTTTTTTGTTGGATCCGCCTGCGTTACTGCTATTTCTTGTTGTGCAGTGGAAACCTTTGATGCGAAATGTGCTGCTTACGTATTGATGCTATTTCTTGTTTGCCTATACGCCTGCTATGTATTTACATTTGCTTCTCGTCGGCGGAAGTTTGGTCGTCTATAATGTATTCTATTGTTTTCGTTTCTCTTGTTTTATGATGATTGATTCAACCTCCGATAAAAACGGGTACAGTTCAAATAGGCTAATACAAATTCGTCTTGAACTCTTATGTTTAGTTCACTATTTTGGTCCATGAAAACTCACACTTTTACCCAAAGTCTATATTATTAATGTCAAATATATTAATTATAGTTGATTCGATTGTTATATTTTAAATAAATTCATTAAAAATATAATATATTTCTGACTCGAAAAAGTAAAATATTCAGTCCGCAATCTTTGTCTCTTAAGTAACACGAACAACCGTGATGACACGTGGTATTATTCCGTTTAGGCCGTATAGCTAATTTGACCTTTTAGTCTCTAATACAAATCTGTCTAGGTTCAATGTACCAAATTTGTTTACCACCACTCTCCAAATTCTCTTTTTCCTTTTCAGGCCTTCCATTTCCAAACCCACGCGCGCCCCTCATCAACTAATCTTCAATCTCTCATTTATATATGCATTATCAAATAAAATTTTATTATATATTTTTTTTTTCAGCATTTTAGTTATAAAATTGACACTAAAAAAAATCTTGAAAAATATAATTATTCAAAACTAAAATCAAAACTCCGCGTTGTCCGTAAACGCACGGGAGAAGCGCGTGGAGATATAGCTATAGAAGGCTCGTGTGGTAGGCACGTGACGTCTCACTCGGCAGTCGCCACCACCCTCTCATAGTGTGCTTGGTTTGGGCACCACCACCACAAATTTTCTCCACCCAAATCAAATCAAATCTTTTACCGGAGAAGAGAAAATACCCTAAAATCCGGAGCATCGGTGCCACATGACGACGTCGTTCGGCGCCGCCAACGCGGCCATCGCCAAGGACCCCAAACTCCAGATTGGAAGGAGCTTCAACGGCTTGAAGAGTGCTTCCAATTCTCTTTTGCTCGCCAAACGCCCCCAGCTTTTCATTCCCTCCGCCGCCGCCACCGCCTCTTTCATCAGAGCTGTCTCTACGGTATCCTTTTTATTCCACTTCATTTTATTTTTTTTCATTTTTTTCTTCATTTCTTCCGCCGTTTGGTTTTCCCCTTTTCGACTTATTTTTTTCCTCTTTGGGAATTGAGAATGAATTTTATGTGGTTTTTGATTCAAATGGCAACAATGAAGGAAGTCTGTTGAGCTATTTTACTTGTTATAAATTTTTTAATTCTTTTTGGGTTTATGATTTGGAATGTAAGGATGGTTTAAGTGAGAGCTTTTAATCTCAGAAATTGGCTTAATTTTGATGGATTGATTACTGAAACTTTCGGAACTGGAAAATGGAGATTTTTTTTTTTTTTTTGATGAAATGCATGCTAAACTAGAAAAGATAGCTAATCTATTGTAAATCAAAAGTACTGGCTTGAGACCCAAAATACTTGTTGCTTTTCAGCACATTGATCATAACAGCAAGATATTTAATCGATTATAACCACTTTGGTATAATCGTAATAGCGTGTGAACTGGTCCCTGTGTTTCAACTATTACATAATCTATGGTTCTTCCACTTCAACTTTTTTTCGATCTATGGTTATAAGAAGAAGTGACTAACATGCTCTGTTTGTAATTTATTTTCCTTTATTTCTTTGCATGGGATAATTGTGTCAAAATCAAGTTGAGATGTTTTATATCGAACTAGTTTATCAATTTGATGATTTTCATGAATATTCGCAGCCTGTGAAACCAGATACCTCTGTTGAGCCAAAACGGAGTAAAGTCGAGATCTTCAAGGAGCACAGTGACTTCATAAGATATCCTCTGAATGAAGAGATGTTAACCGATGCCCCTAATATTAACGAGGCTGCTACACAGTTGATCAAGTTCCATGGTAGCTATCAACAGTATAACAGAGATGAACGTGGTACAAAATCTTACTCCTTTATGCTTCGTACGAAGAACCCTTGTGGAAAGGTTTCAAACAAACTCTATCTGGTCATGGATGATCTGGCCGATCAGTTCGGTATTGGAACCCTTCGTTTGACAACTAGGCAAACATTTCAACTTCATGGTGTTTTGAAGAAGGATCTCAAGACTGTCATGAGTTCCATCATTAAATGTATGGGTTCTACACTTGGTGCATGTGGTGATCTCAACAGAAACGTTCTCGCTCCAGCAGCCCCGTATAACCGAAAAGATTATTTATTTGCACAGAAAACTGCAGAAAATATCGCCTCGCTCTTAACCCCTCAGTCGGGTTTTTACTATGATATTTGGGTGGACGGAGAAAGATTTTTGACTGCAGAACCTCCTGAAGTTGTGGAAGCTCGCAATGATAATTCCCATGGTACAAACTTTGTCGACTCGCCTGAGCCTATCTATGGAACTCAGTTCTTGCCAAGGAAGTTCAAAATTGCAGTAACTGTGCCGACAGACAACTCGGTGGATCTCTTCACAAATGACATTGGTGTTGTTGTTGTCTCGGATGCTGATGGGGAACCGCAAGGCTTTAACTTATACGTAAATTCTTTTTTCCTCTTCAAATAATAAAAATATATTATATGATGATGATTTTAAGTCGATGACGATAATCTTTGCAGGTTGGTGGTGGGATGGGAAGAACACATAGGTTAGACAGCACATTCCCTCAGATGGCAGAACCGTTGGGTTATGTGCCAAAAGAGGACATATTATACGCAGTGAAGGCTATTGTTGTCACACAGAGAGAAAATGGGAGAAGGGATGACCGCAAGTACAGTAGAATGAAATACTTACTCAGCTCGTGGGGAATTGAAAAGTTCAGAACTGTTGTCGAGCAGTACTATGGAAAGAAGATCGAGCCTTGCCACGATTTACCCGAGTGGGAATTTAAAAGCTACTTGGGATGGCACGAGCAGGTCTGCTTTAGGTTAAGATATGCAGTTTATATGCTTTATATTTTCGAGTTTAATTGTGGAATCCTTTGGTCTGCATGTATCGATATTTTCATCTGCATTTTAGCTTTACATTTCTTCCTAGTTCTTTTTAATAATTATTAGGGTAAATGCTTGTTTTACAGGGAGACGGTGCATTGTTTTGCGGTCTTCACGTTGATAGTGGCCGAATCAAAGGGGCAATGAAGACGACTCTAAGGGAGATAATCGAGAAGTACAATTTGAACGTACGCATAACACCAAACCAGAATATTGTGTTGTGTGATATCCGCCAAGCATGGAAGCGTCCCATTACTACAGTTCTTGCTCAGGGTGGTCTGCTGGTAATATCTTATATTCAAATTTTCTGCATTACGATTCTTAACATATACTGTCATCGTTGGAAATTGATTAGTTTGAGATCTTTGGAAGCCAAATAAATATTAACCAAGTGTATGTGTGAACAGCAACCAAGGTATGTAGATCCTTTAAATTTGACAGCGATGGCTTGCCCAGCATTTCCACTCTGCCCCTTGGCAATTACAGAAGCAGAACGTGGAATACCTGACATTCTTAAGCGTGTTCGAGCTGTATTTGAGAAAGTATACTCTCTCTCTCACAACAATTTGAATTCAGTAGGGAATGTAATCGCATGATGTAATATTTTTTTGTATGTTTTGTTAGGTTGGCCTCAAGTACAACGAATCTGTGGTGGTAAGAATAACCGGCTGTCCAAATGGGTGTGCTAGGCCTTATATGGCTGAACTTGGTTTGGTTGGTGATGGTCCAAATAGTTATCAGGTATGTACTTTAATTTTTATATCCCTTAACCAAACTCGAACTCAAAACGGGACTGATTTTTTTATTTTTTTCCCGTAGGTGTGGCTTGGTGGAACACCCAACCAAACATCACTTGCAAAAACCTTCAAGGAAAAGGTTAAGATCCAAAATCTCGAGAATGTTCTGGAACCTTTGTTTTATCACTGGAAGCGCAAACGTCTCTCTAAAGAATCATTTGGAGACTTCACAAACCGCATGGTAGGCCATGAATCCTACATCTTTCTCCCTACTTATAATATCCAACATTAAATTAATTTTTTTTATTATTTTTTTAATTTATTTTTATTTTCCATTGCAGGGTAATGAGAAACTACTGGAGCTGGTGGACAAATGGGAAGGAATACCGTTATCTCCACCGCGCTATAACCTGAAACTGTTTGCTGACAAGGAGACGTATGAAAGCATCGATGCTCTCGCAAGAATTCAAGATAAGACAGCTCACCAATTGGCAATTGATATCATCCGCAATTATGTGGCCACCCATCAAAACGGTATTATTCAGTGAACTACGAGAAAAGAAGTTACAAAAGACGTGAATTCCCAAGTCACTGTTACTGGTCGGTAACAGCTGATATAATTGGAAGGTGGCCACAGAATCATTTTGTATCTAGGCTCTGTGAGTGTTTATGTTTTTGGTTCTTCCGCAAACTTTTTTCGTTTGGAGATTTCTTCGTTTTGGTATGAAACTTTTGCTAAGTTATTGGACCACTAAAGTTGTTTTTATTTTTATTTCATAAATTGGGCTTTGCATAAGCTAGTTTCTTCATCTGTAAAATGTAAGACAGTTTTCAGATGTATCTTTCTGTGATTTTTCCTTGAATATTCACGTAAACTTGTTTTGATCGGAAAGCTTTCTTCGTCGGTTTTGAGATTCAGGATTTTTTTTTTTAATATCATCAACCACTGGTTATCAATTTTAATTTATGGCCTATAATCAACTGCCAACCGATTCACTAGGGCTACGTCGATAATTATCCGTTTAGAGGTATTATGTTATTAGCTATGTAGCTCGCACACGGAAACGAAGATACGGGGAAACGGATAGAGGGGAAATGGCATATTCAAAGATGTTTCTAACTTTTTAGAAATTGCCAAATGGCCCATAAGGTGCCCGACAGGTGTCTTCAAGTATCGACATGAAATGTTTCCGAAATGTAGAAACGTTAAAGATATTGAAGTTTCCGTGCTACATAGGTTAAATATTAGATTAAATATATGAACAATCTTGTTTAACAAAAATATTGATATAAACAATGACAAATGTTTAGCCACGCTGTTCTGTCACAAGATCATAGTTTGGCATATTTAGTTCTTCTCTACTGGAAAAATAAAATGATGCACTAATTTGTTTTAATTTTTTTTATTTTTTTTTTCTCATTTCTTTAATAATAATGGAAGACAAAATTGCCCAAAAATAACTTATATATCAAGTAATATGGACATTAAACAACACAAACATTAATTATGATGAGCAACAAAACAATTTTAATATATAATTCCCATGCATGAAGGAGAGTGAATAAAATTAGCAAACAATCTCGATTAATCAATAGCGACAAATGCGAGCAGTAGGGTTCGTAACGCAAACAGCTGCGTACTTCTTCTTAGCATCAAGGCTTCCCCTCTTCGGCTCTTCGTCGGCCATTGCTATTTTAGCCACCGAGCACGCAGCCGCTGCCGCCACCGCAAACATCAAGTCCCTCCTGCTGTTGTTGTTGCTGCTGCTGCTCTCTTCCTCCCCGGAGGAGTCTTTTGAGGCCCTAACAACCACCATGTGACGGCGGGTGGTGGTGGTGGCGGCGGCTGCGGCTGAGCCGCCCAAGAATGATGCCATCATGGTCATGGAAGCCATTTTTGCAGCTATTGGTGAAAATGTGATATTTGGATAGTGCAATATTTTAGTTTGTTGTAGTTCAAAAAAAAAAAAAGTAGTGATTCATACAAATATGATACATTTCTCTTATCCTAAAATTAAGGTGGGTTCCAATTGGTTGGTGTAGATATCTAATTTTATCTAAGCAATAAAATTGGTGGTTCTTAGGTTTTGTGGTGGGACTCTAATTTCCAAATTGATTTATGTCCATTTCTCTATTATTTTATTTTGTTATTTATTATTTTCTTTTTCCTTATTCTTTTTTATCTCACCGAATTCCATCCGAAATATTTCTGAAATAATATTTTTCATTCAAAATTTCAAATTCTCAAGTTTTCTGACTTTTTAATTTATCGGAATTGAAATATATATTTTATTATTATTATAATTACGTACACACATAATAGAGTTTTTCGTTTTTTCATTCAATATTGAAAAATTCCACCAGTTTATCGAACTTTTCGGAACAATTTGGAATTAATTTTTCACTTTCGAAAACAATACGATTTCTTTTTTCTTCTAAAAATGATGATTCTGATTTGTTAATGGGCTGAATTCACAAAGTTTAATGAAGAAAAAAGCACTATAACGTGGGCTTGAAATATGGGCCCATTGACCATGGATCGGGTTTCTTTCGGAGCCCCATATTGTAAAGCTCGCGAAGTATTTAATTACACTTGTGGATATCCAACACTTTTGATATAAAATTAAAATTCATAAATAATATTTGAAAAAAATTCAAATTAATTTCCCTATTCTCACTAATATATAAAATCGTAATTATTCATAAATTTGTATTTTGTTGTTTGTTTGAGAACATAAAGAATGGAAAAGATGGCTCAAATTTGTCTTGTAAAAATAGTCTTCCTTCCCACATATGATTAATTAATTAATTAATTAATTAGTGTTCAAATTCAAGAATATCCGAATAATAAATAACTATAATATGACAATATGCAACCTTCTTTCCTGTGGGACAACCTATAATACAATTTCCCACCATTATATACAGAAGAAAAAAAAAATGATGACGTGGAAAAAAACAATATATTACAATACAAACACACATATATGATTGTCAATCAATCAAGAAAATAATAATAATAAGTTAATAATAATGACACGTGATTAATAATAAGACAAAGGGTAGATTCCAATATTAGGTGGACCTTTGTACTTAATTATATATATTATATTGTCCATCATTGTGAGTGACAATCCATAACCTCTAATGAATAATACAAATTAGTGCTTTACTTTCAACTAATCCCTTCCAATTATCCAATAATAATTCACTCACTTTTAATTATTCTACCACATAGACACATTAGGGCTTTTCAAAATTTTGAATTTCAATTTATTATTGTTTGTTTAATAATTTTTTATTTTTTTGTGACAATAAGCCATTTCAAACGGTCATTAGCAATATAATAGATAAACATCTTGAATAATTTCAAGAAAACAATTAATTAATTATAGTTAAACATCGAAAATCGGAGTGGTACTAAATTAAATACTTTATTTTTTTTTTTGAAATAATCAGGAACATTTCATTGGGGTGATCCCCTTTTTTTCTTTTTGTCTTTTTAAAAATAGTTATTGTCATATTCCCAACAGTAATCTGTTTCTTTTTAAATAAAGTAGATATTTAATCTTTTTTATTTTTAAATCATGAAATATTCAATCAATAAAAATATATAAATATGAAATAATCAGCTGGATATTCAAAATTCAAGGGTTATATATGTAAATGAATAAAATATAAATAGTGGTAAAATAGTACACTACCTAGGAAATAATGATGTAGTAATAAATGAGTTAGAGAAGGGATAAAGAATATTCAAACATTTATACATATATATATATATATATACATGACACACACACCTTAAACGGCACGGACTGTAAATAAATAAATAAATAGAATTTATTAATGTAAATATTAATTAAAAAAGAAAGAGAAAATGAGAATGGAAGTGCAGTAGTAAATGAATGAGTAGCTCCACCCCCACCACCTCGTATGGTGTGTGATTAATCACTTCTGCCTTTTCTTGTATATATATATATATCGCTGTCTTTTTTTTTTTTTACTATGATTTAATTTTTTAATAAAATTAAATAAAATGAATTAATGACATTCACGAAGCATCAATGTCTTGTTTACTTTTGATTGCCATGTCAACTCCCTGCAGAGAACCCTGCAACTTTTTTTTCTATTTTATTTAAATAAACAATCAATAAGTACATTTATATTTTCAGCATATCGAAGAGGTAATATTGTGGAATATTATTATTAAATATATTCATTGTCCTTTTTTCATCATAATAATATGATGATGCTATTTCAAAATTTGATTCATCACAAGTTCCTTGAATAGGTATATATATATAAATAAATTGGAGTCACAAGTTACGTACAATAGTCCGCCCCTTGACATTTTTATTATATTTTCATTTATTAATTAAATATCATTGGTAATTTATTATTTCTGTCGATTCTAATGTACTTTTAGAACAATATTTTTAAATTAATAATTTGTTTAATATTTAATGGGAATTCATGTAGACTTCATGCAGCAAATATATAAATTAAGAATTCCTTAATTTTTTTTTTTTATTTTAAGAAGATTTGAACTCAAAGTCTAAAAGCTGATTAACACAAGTACACTGCATTAAAAGTCACCTAATCTCTCTCTCTCTCTCTCTCTCTCTCTCTCTCTCTCTCTCTCTCTCTCTGTGTGTATATATGTACTTACCCCAATATTTATTAATATTATAAAGTTGAATAAGATTGCCATTTCAAAATCTTTGTTCTGCTTCACGTTACGAGGTCGCGCGTGCCTCTTCTCTACACATCCCACAAACCAATCAAATTTTAGATAAATAATAATAAGGGTAAATTACAAACACCCCCGAGGTATGGTCAAATTACAAAAACACCCCTCTTGTTTGGATAATTACAACCACCCCTCAACTCCTCAAATTTAGTGGAATCTTCAAGATTATATAAAATATTATCACTTTTGTACCCGTTTTATACCATTCAAACTCTACATTATGAAGCAAGATGATCTCATAATATGTGATTTTTAGCTTGTGTATATCAATTTGTGGTGCATCGGAAACTGTATTTTTACACAAAACGAGTACAAACTAGAGCACATTCCACGGAATCTAGATGATTATGTTGAATTTGAGACAATAAGGGTGGAGGTGTAAGAAAAAATTATAGTTGAGGGGGTAGATGTAATTATCCAAACAAGAGGGGGTTTTTTGTAATTTGACCATACCTCAGGGGGTGTTTGTAATTTACCCATAATAATAATAATAATTTTAAGTTTATTTCAATTAATTGAAATTATATCACTAATTCATTTTAAGTTTGTTTCAATTAATTCATTTTACAATTAACTTTAGACCCTTTTTTTTAATATTTAAGATAGCCATTAGAACTATTAATAATGAATATAAAAAAATAATTTTTTTATTAGATTTCATAGTAAAAGTGTACCATTTTAACAAACCCAAAAAAGGGAAAAAAAATAAACCACAGATAAAGACAAAATAGTGGACAATTTGGTCATTTCCGAAAAAAACACCAGCACAGCAGAGCTCACTCCCTCTGTATATATATACCTTTACCGTTGAATTCAAATTCCTCTTAAAGACTGAAAACCCCACCCCCCAAAACACACACACACACACACTCAGACAAGAGTAGTTTACCATGTCAACAACAACAACAACAACTGCATCAAGAAGAACCAAATGGCATCCAACTCCGCCGCCGCCGCCCAGCCCCAAAATCCTCCACTTCCCCCGCAGCCGCAGAACCCGCCGCCGCCAATCGAAACCCACCACCCAAAACCACCACAACAATAACCCGCTACTCCTAATGCACCAAAATCATCCCTCCTCCTCCTCTAAAGGAAAGCTCGAAAACCTCTTCGATCAGGAAACTAGTTCCCCGCCGGAGTTCCCGGACCCCAACTCGAAAATACCCGTCGCCGGGAGGAGAGAGAGAGTGGCGGAAGACGACGGCGGATTCGCGGAGGAGAAGTGGCGGTTCCAGGCGGAGATACTGAGAGCCGAATGCAATTTATTAAGAATGGAGAGAGAATTCGCTCTGAAGAAATTGGAGAAGAATAGGGTTAAAATGGAGAGAACTCTCAAATCAGCTGTTCAAACACTTGTCTCTGTTAGTTTTATTTAATCTCTTTTAATTAATTATTTATTTAATTAATATGTGGATAATATAATATACATTTTTATTCGCTGTGAATTGCAGGGGAGAGATAAGATCTTTGAAGGGAAAAATGCAAAGGCAGTTTTAGAGGAAGAAATCGAAGTTTTAGCAGATAAGCTAAACGAATTGCAGAAAATCCCAACAAATAAAGACAGCCAAATTCGAAACCTGAGTAATAATTTCGACAAGAAAGCTTGCGTTTTGCAGCGTCGTCTCGAAAAGCTCGGAGGATTATCCGACGAACCCGAAACTAATAAATCGTCCACCAATGTAAGAACAAGTTTCTATTATTTTATATACAATTAATAAAAACCGAACATTTTGAATAAAATTATTTCTATAAAAGCATTATCGGCCCCCCTCGTAATTTTTTTAATGCGTCGAACTTAAAATTGTGGCTCGGCGAATGTGCAGGTGGATATGGTGAAGAAGAAAATGGAGGGATTGTCAAAGGGGATGTTGGAAAGAGTTGAACAAGAGTACAATTCAATTCTTTCTAGTACAGCTAATAGTTCCGTTGCCAGCTCAGCTTCTTCTTCGAAGAGAATCGATTGCCCCGATTTTTCGGCCAGACATTTCTTTCAGGTAAAAAAAATAAAAATATTATTAATTAATAATCTTGCTTATTTAATTAATGGATTATTAGTATTGAATTCTGGTGTCTGATTTTGTTTCGGTCCGACAGATTTAACTATGTTTCGGGGCCAAGAAATTCAAATAATTGGTCTTGTTTACGTTTACGTTTAGGTTTACATGTTAGTTATGTAGTTTATATGTTGGAGGAATATTGAGAAATGTGTTTTCGGTGCGTAGGAACAAATGGGGCACGAGAACAAATGCTCGGGGCGGTGTAAGATTATCGTTCGGAGGATTGTCGAGCAAGTTAGGGCTGAAACAGAGCAATGGTCGCAAATGCAAGAAATGCTAGGGCAGGTGAGGGGTGAAATGGAGCAGCTTAACGGGTCCCGCGATTTCTGGGAAAATCGAGCGCGCAATTCCGACGTCGAAATTCAATCCCTTCGGCACGCTGTAAGAACCCCTTTTTCGCTCTTGTGAAAAAAAAATAAAAAAAAATTCGTACTTATTGTTTCTTTTTTCAACTTCGTTTTTTTTTAGGTGGAAGAATGGAAAGAGAGAGCTCGTGCGTATGAGAACAAGGCAAACGAAGCGCAGCTCGAACTGTCAATATTGAAAGAGGAGATTCAAAAGTCGAGAACGGATTTAAGTATAATGACAGATATACCCGCGGTTCCTTTGGGAAGGCAGCTCGATAAGGAGAGGGTAGTGTTGAGTTTTCGGTCGAAGGAAAACGAACAAGGATATTCGCCGAGCAAAGACTTGCCGCCTCTTTCTTTAGGCAAACAGCTTGCGAATGAGAAGAGAATGCTACTTCACCGTTTAAAGGAGAAACGAAATGCTCGTGAGAAAGGGAAAATCATGTGCTCGAATGGCACGGGGGCCGAGGCCCCCACGAGGCGCTCGCCGTTGCGGGAGATAGGAAATTCGTCTCCGTTGGCGAAACAAAAGAGTCGATCGGCTTTTTGCTTACATAGCCCGGAGAGTTCTAGAATAAGAGAGAGCTTTAGGAAGTGAAATTATTGAAGAACAGTTTATTAGAGGAGAATTAATCACAGTTTTGCCCCCATTGTAAGTTTAGATTATGAAGCTTTTTTATTGAATGTTGAATAATGACCAATGAGTCCTTTTATTAAATATATTATTTTTTTAGTGTATGAAGTTAATTTTTAATTGTTAATTGTTAATTACTAAAAAAAGTTGAAATGTGTTATATTTTAAATAATAGGACCATATTTGATTTATTATTTTAATAGTAAATGCAGTTCTAATAGGACTATTTTTAAAGTTTTAAATTTTGAATTAATCTTGTCCACATTTTAATATTAAACATGATAAACACATTTTACTTAGGAAAAAACATATGCTTATGTCCATTGATAATTAGGAAAAAAATCAATCAAAATCATTTCATTCTTAATTAAACACATTAATTAATAGAGTAACAGCTAATAACATAAATGTAATTTGTCAAACGTGACTCCAAATATCGAAATATATTAAAATTATATATAATATAATTAGCCGATAATATATTTATCAAAAGAAAAAATAAAATAAAAATTGTTTGCGTGAAACACGTTTTATTCACTAAAACTAAAAAAACAAAATGATATATTCAATAAATTCAAATTTAATCCTACTTCCACTTGTTATAGACTTGAATTTACTCAAAAAAAAAAAAAAAAAAAAAAATTCAAATTTAATTAAATAATTTTTTTTTTCTAACTTTGGATAATGTTAAATTTAAATAAAGAAAAGAAAAAAAGAGTGATTAGTTATATAACGCCGCTAAAACGGTGATCCTTAGAACTTTGAAGAGTTGTAGGATCAGAGACTCCAGATTCCGCAAGAGTTGCATTTTCTGCCAACTTCTTCTCGTACACGAAGATATATACATATATCTCTATATATATATATCTAATCCAAAATATCAAAGATTCAATACTTTCATAATTAGGGCTACCGTCAAATCAAATTTCTCTCATCGTGCGTTTCTTCTTCGTCTTCTTCAATACTCTGTTCTCTCTGATTTTCACCTGCAATTTTGTTTTTTGGGTTTTCGAGAAATTCACAGAGAAAGGAACAATCTTGATGAACACAAAGCCATGGGATCCATCGTTGTAAAAAACCGGGCCACGAAAAGATCTGGTTCGAAGCCATTGTCGGAGATGGGTCGCCACTACAGCCGCCCCTGTTCTTGTTCAGTTCACGATTCATTCACAGTCGCCCTAGAAGCATTCTCTGAACACCTCGTTCTCTAGCTTTCTCTCTCCTCTCTTTCTCTCTCTTGATCTAAATTCAAGCAATTAAATCCGTCCTTTTTTTAAAACCATGAATCTGGAAATCGAAGAGAAATCCCCATGCGGCAATTTCGTCCGGTACAAGAAAATCCTGGGCAGAGGAGCGTTCAAAGACGTCTACAAAGCGTTCGACCATTTGTCTAACAGAGAAGTCGCCTGGAGCCTGATCTCCGTCGAGGAAGAAGAAGACTCGAAAACCTCGAAGAAGAAGAATCTAGAGAAATCCCTCTGCTCAGAAGCCGTCTTATTGAAATCCCTCAACCACAAAAACATCATGAAGTGCCACAGCTTCTGGTTCGACCGCCGCCGCAAAACCGTCAACATCATCACCGAGCTCTTCTCCGGTGGCAGCCTCCGCCACCACACCAAGAAACTCGGTTGTGCCGCCATCGACCCGACGACCATCAAAGCCTACGGCAGCCAGATTCTAGAAGGCCTCCAATACCTCCACACCCGAAGCCCTAAAATCGTCCACCGCGACATCAAGTCCGACAACATATTCGTCAACCCCACCACAGGCGAAGTTAAGATCGGAGATTTCGGACTGGCGTCAGAAATAGAGCGGGACCCGCTCAGGTCATTCGCGGGAACCCCCGAATTCATGGCACCCGAGTACTACGAAGAGGAGTACAACGAATTGGTTGACATTTACGCATTCGGATTGTGCTTGATGGAGATGGCCACTTGCGAGTGCCCTTACTCCGAATGCACAAACCCCGCCCAGATTTTCAAGAAAGTCACCACCGGAATTAAACCAGCAGCTCTCGGAAAAGTCAAGGATTATGAAGTCAAGGAGATTATCGAAAAGTGCTTATCACCAGTTTTTTCGAGGCCCTCTGCGAGTGAGCTATTGAAAGATCCGTTCTTTTCTTCGTCGAATGGAACAGAAACAGCAATGGAGGAGGAATGTTCCGGAACATCGAGTTCCCGTTCGGAAGTTTCAGAAGTTTCTACAGGAGGTGAAGACAGCATGGAAGACTTGATTCTTTCGGATTTACGTACATTGTACGATGACATGTCTTTGGGAGAGGTTGCTAATAGTACAGTAGGCAAACCGCACAGCAGCTCCGATTACTCTATGAATTCGAGAATCACTTACGCTTCTTCGTCATGTGCTGTGTCGAAGGATTCGTGTTTCATTGTATCGAAACCATCCTTGGACATTTTTATGCATTGAATTCTTTTTTTTTTTTTTTCTTTTCATACATGAAATAGACATTTTTTTTCCTGAGTTTCAAGTTTTTGAGAAGGCAATGGTTTTCTTTTTTGCAGCATATGAAATAGAGTGCAAATTTATTATGATACTTACTGAAAAGGCAGTACAAAAATACAGGATATGTCAATTGTGTTTAATATCAACTGACACTGTTTCAACTCTCACCCGAACAAGGGCTTTTTTCATTTATTTAAATAGCTGGTGTCGGTTTAACGAAGTTCTTCTCCTCCAAGCTTTCAACAGTTTCCTTGATGCTTTCTTCGAGAGGAGTGAATTCAACACCTAGGCTTTTGGCTCTTTCTTTCGAGACTTGGTAAGTGGGCACAAATGGCTTGTCATCGGCACACCTGCATGTGTTGACAGATTAGTCTAGCTTCGTATCAAATGCATGTTTAAAAATGAAATCATAATAAGGGACTTACTTTTCGGGAAGTCGGAAAGTAGGGTATAGTCCACGTAATATATTTGCGATTTCTGAAAAATGCGCAACACTCTCCACCATACAATACCTTCCATTAGCCGAAGGATTCTCAAATGCAAGAATATGTGCATTTGCAACATCTTTTACATTTACCCATCCAGATGTAACATTCGGGTATGCCTCCGCACCTGCATATTTCACAAATACACAAAGGTGAAGATTTCACCAATGTAGAAGAACTAAGTTATTGACATGATATTTATTTATTTATAAATCAAACTCACCATTTATCAAGTTCAAAATTGCAGCGGAACTTGTGTTGAGAGTCGGCTGCAACAACGGACCAATTACCATGGCTGGATTTATAGCAACCATGTCGATACCTTTCTCTTTCACAAACTTCCACGCAGCTTCCTCAGCCAATGTCTTTGAAAGCATATACCATTGCTATATTACGAACAACGTCGTCACATTTCGTCGAGTCTTTTAATGCATATAAAAAGTTACCATTTTCATTATCAAAATAAGAGGAATAGAAACACCGACCTGCATTTGTCTGCAAAACAGAGGATCGGACCACCAAGTCTCATCGACTACAACTTCAGGTGTTCTCGGTTTGCCGTTGGCAAAAACCGCAACTATCGAAGATGTCAAAACTACCCTTTTAACGGTTGGTGTTTTCGCGCAAGATCGAAGCACATTAAGTGTCCCCTTTAACGCAGGATTGATCAATTCTGCCTGAAGAAATTGAAAACAGAACCGAATGAAAAACACTAGCTAAACTAAATTATGATAAAAAAAATTATTCAATAAAGTTATAAGAACTCTATATTTTATTTAAAATAGAAAATTAGAAAAGGGGGCAGAAACCTCCGGATCAGTGGTTGAAAGGAAAAAAGGGGAAGCGGTATGAAAAACACCATCGCAGCCATCAACTACAGCATCAAAGGATCCTTCTTCCAGAAGATTCGCTTTAATCAAGTGAAGTCTCTCTTTCGCTCCATCGAGTGCGAGCAAGTGTTGCGTCTTGTTTGGATCGCCTGTTTCTCATTTCCGATTTTTTTCCAATAAATCGCAAATATTTTCACGAAATAACAGAGTAGATAAAATTAAAGCTTAAGACATCTGAACTGATTCGATCGCAATTGATACACAAACAGCTGATTTGGATATAGATCAGATTTGTAATCTAAACATAATAAATAAACGAAATTGAGTTTGAGTTTTACTGAACTGGTATCACGAACAGAAGCTTTGACGGTGTAACCGCGCCGGAGCAAGAATTTGACAATCCACGAAGCTATATAGCCTGATGCTCCTGTTACGCACACCGTCTTCATTTTCGCCGCTGCTTCTTCTGTTCTGTGTGTACAGACTGTGTGTTTGTGTGTGTGTGTGTGTGAGAGAGAGAGAGGGAAGAGAGTGTTGATTAAACGCCCCCACCTACCAATTTTTATCGGTGGGTTGTAATTTTGTAAAGTTGTTTCATTCAAAATTACATGTTTTAATATTTTTTTAATTGTTATATATATGTATTATGTAGGGCTGTGCGTTGGTTGGTTTGGTTAAAAACCAGCCATAAAACCAAACCAACCCATCCAACCAACTTAGGTAAATATTGGAAACCGTTATCGACCCAACTAACATGGGTTGGGTGATGGTTGAAAACCAATTTAATGGGTTGGTTGGTGGTTTGGTTGATGGGTCATCCATCTAAATATTTTTTTAATTTTTTTTAATATTTTATTACTTGTTACAACGCTATATCTTTTATAAATTAAATGCGACTAGTTCAATAATATTCTAATAAAAGATTCAAAACATTACGGGCATATATATTACAATTAAACATAAATAGTTCAACAAATAATAAAATTAAAATAGTTCAAATTAGATAATTAGGTTAGATTTATTGCTTTTAGGATTTTGGTCAATATTAAACAATTTAATAAATGTGATATAAAATAAAAATTTGAAATTAACAATACTATATATTTTAATTAAAATTAATAAATAGTTAACTAATGAATGAAGTTGGTCGGCCGATATTAACCGACTAACCAACTTTTTAGCATATTAGAAACCATTATCGACCCAACTATACATGGGTTGGTTGAGATTATCGACCCAACTTAAATGGGTCGGTTAATGGTTGATTAACCATCACAAATTGTGGGTCGAAAATGGGTTGGTTGGTGGTTAAAACCGATCCATGCACAGCCCTACTATTATGTATTGAGTATCTTTTTTCTTGTATATTTCTTTAAAAAAATTATAATTAGGGTAAATTACAAACACCCCCCTGAGGTATGGTTAAATTACAAAACCCCCCTCTTGTTTGGATAATTACATCTACCCCTCAACTATGATTTTTTCTTACCTTTATGGTGCCAAATTCAACATAGTCATCTAGATTCCGTGAAATGTGCTCTAGTTTGTACTCTTTGTGTAAAAAATACAGTTTTCGATGCACCACAAACTGATATATACAAGCTAAAAATCACATAATATGGCCATCTTGCTTCATAATGTAGAGTTTGAATGGGATAAAACGGGTACAAAAGTGATAATATTCCATATAATCTCGAAGATTCCACTAAATTTGATGAGTTGAGGGGGGTGGTTGTAATTATCCAAACAAGAGGGGTGTTTTTGTAATTTGGTCATACCTCAGGGGGTTGTTTGTAATTTACCCTTATAATTAATAATTTTTGTAACAATTGTACTTAAATCTTAAATGGTATTTAATTTAATATGCAGAAAATGTATCATAAAAACTAAAGAATGAAGAAAGAAAACTCAGCATGTAACCTAGAAAATACTTTAGAAATTCATCTATGAATCGCGATTAGAGATGAAAGTCGGACCGATCAGATTAGAATTAGTACTCTAAAAAATATGAAACCTCATTGTTCAATTGATCGGATAATTATAATTAGTCGGGGTTGTCTGCGGTCTGAGAGAGTCATGTTACCTCTCGAATCATAATAAATTTAATTTGAAACGAAAATAATAAATATGGGAAAATCCAAATCGTTTTCATCCCAAGGATGAAAAAATTGGTAACAATAATAATAAATCGTTAATAAAAAATTCAAAAAATATAATGCAAGCATAATATACATGAAAAATGAGATACCCTAGTTGAGACTATGACGAATATAAATCGAACGGAGAAACACTAAACCGATCACATTCCGATCAACCCCACGAAGCTCTTTGTATGGATTTCAAATTCATAGTTATTATGACCGGAACCCAAATTGAAAAGGTCGATTTCTTGCGTACGAACATCGTAAGCAATACGAACCCTAGTTGGATCCGGAAGATGAAAAACCACCACCTCTCTACATTTTAACCAACCAACGGGCGATAGTCTCGACAAAGACAGATGTTCCAAGTCAATGCTGCACATCTTCGACCATTCTCCAGTTCTCGATTCCATTTCCCAAACATCCATCGAAAAATCACTGCAGACAAAGAACAAAGACAAAGATTTTCCCGTTGACAAGTAACACTTGTCGATTTGTTCGTAGTCGTGCGCTCGAGGCACGGGGTATTGTGTAATAGTTTCAGTTTCTACGTTCAAAGTCAAAATACGAGTTTGACCGTCTGGTGGAACCCAATGTATAAAACCTTCGGTCGCAATTGGATTATTGGTGACGTAAAACTTTGATTCGGGAGGTAAGTGCTCGGTACAAACATCCCTCCAAAATTTATCGACTCCCATTGTCAATATAGCGCACCGTACTTGTAAATACGGATACGTGTAAGCGACGACAACTTTATAATGCATGGAAGCGGCCGAATATGCTATAGTATAGCTACGACAATCGGGTAACCACGACATTTGTTGACTAAACCGAGGGACAACAAAGTGCGTTTTTATTGCGGGCTCGTTTCGAGTGGTGACACTCGAGTATCAAACCGTTACAAGTGGCCCAAGTGTAGACTCCTTTTATCTTGTACGAGAAGTTGGATACCTTAATTCGGCCTTCACGCATTGCCACAAACACGGTCTCGTTCTTTGGAGAACTAAAATCGTTGACGAGAAGTCCGGTTGAGTGGTGCGCAAATTAAAGTGCGCGCGTATGAATTCTTGCGTACGGATCATACGGTACCACCTCCGGCAAACGAGCATGGCATTGTCGTAAATATATTCGGCGGGGAGATGTATAAGAATTTGAAATACCAAGTCGTACGGAAGATTGTCGATTTCCGTCTGCATCTCCTATAAGTATTTTAAGTTGCGACCATCGGGGACCCATACGGTGACAAGACGGCGGGGCCGGCGACTGGAGGTTTATCCGTTTATAAATTAATTAATTAATTATTATTTTATTTGTTTCAACGAGTAGTTTACTGCTGATAACCTCATAGAAATTTATAAATTAGGGTTTACCTCAGTGGGCTTTAATTTACGATACTACTTTTATAGAGTTAATTGCATACAACCCCCTGTGAAAAGTCTAATTGCCGAAAAAACCCCTATGTTAAAACAATTAGCATTTACCCCCCTATAATGGATTTTATTTAGCCCACCACCCCCTATTCGAAAAAAAATCGTTGACTATAATGAAATGACTATATTACCCTTATAAAAATATGCTACATTACCCTTTATTTTAGTAATTATTAAAAAAAAATATTAAAAAATATTTAAAATAAAAAATATATAAAAAATAACAAAATAATTATTTTTATAAATTTATAAACAAAAGATAATGCAAAATGTATATATACTAAATATAAAATAATAAAAAGAAAAAAGAAAAAATAAATAAATAAGTCATCTTCTTCAACAGCACCACCGTGCACCCGCCTCCAACAGCAACCACCAACACATCCTGTTCCTCCTCCACAATCCAACATCTTCGTTGCCTCTGACCTATGCTCCGCAACGGTTTGAATCGGTTCCTCTCCGAGCCACATCAATTTCCTCCATTTCTCTCTCCCCGACCAAGAATTGAAGTCTGGAGATGGAAATTAGAGACGATACCTTTGTCGTCGGCGGCTACGGCTTCGTAGATGTCCTCTCGACATCCACCTCAAAACCAATGCTAAAATCAAGCAAAAATCTCCCCAAATCGGCAGCCCATTGTCGGTGTTATGGGCACCATCTCCTCCCCACCCAATCCAACACCTCTTACGGTCGTATAAGGCGGCGGCGGCGGCGCCCCCACCTCGAATGAATGGCCGACGAGAAGAAAACAATCTGACAACCCGGATTCTTGAAACCCGAAGCCCCGATGGGATTCTCCTTCTCAATCTCACGGGCTCGCCGGAAATGGGAAGATAAAGACGACTTGTGGTAACAGATGGTTGATTTGGAGAAGAGGGCTTTTTGAAAATGTTAAGGACTAAATTGAAAGATGGATCTTTTATTGGGTGAATCTGTAATTTAAAAAATAAAACAATTGAAAGGGTATTTTGGTATTTTCCAGTCAAAAAATACGCTCCCATTTGCATAATCGGCGAGTGTAACACACGATCAGCTCACAGGGGGTTTATTGGCTCTGACTTCTGATCATAGGGGGGTATTTGCTAATTGTTTTAACACGGGGACTTTTCCGGCAATTCGAGATTACACAGGGGTGGTTTTTGCAAAAAACCCTACTTTTATATATATATATATATATATATATATATATATATATATATATACCTCAATTAAATATTAATTAATTATTATTCTTTCAATAAATCTCAATTAAATAATAGTTTCTCTCGGTCCTGAATTGGTAAAAACGTGTTAAATTATTACCTTGATAATTTAATAATTCACTAAATTAATAGAATTTCCCTAGCTCCGACTGTATTAATTTATGGAGGTTTAAGTATATGAATATAGATGAGATATCACTTTAAACAATGGCGAATAGAAAATTAAAAAATAAAAGAACTAAACCGATCGACTAAACTGATTAGCTAATATTCATTCATACGAAGCTGCTTGTATGGAGTTGAATTGACGAGAATAACTATCAGAACTTTACCTCGAAAAAAGTAGAAATACTCGTGTAAGAACATTGTATGCGCGCGATGCAAACCCTAGTTAGTTTTTTATGCGAATCGATCAAGCAAAGGCACCGCTTCTCGATATTTCAGCCAATGCATGGGACCGTACTTTGGAGCTTCGAGCCAACCATTCCAAGCTTTTTGTGTGGAGTTCAAATTTATGAGAATAATTACAAGAAACCAACTTGAAATAGTCGAATTCTTTTGTAAGAACATTGTAAGCAACGCAGAACCGAGTCATATGCGAAAAACGCAAGACCAACACCTCTCGATATTTTAACCAACCAACTGGTTTGAGTGCAAAGGGGAAGCTACATCCTTTACTTCGGAAGTGTTCGAAATTGCACTTTTGAGCTTCCAAGTCGATTTTGTACATCTTTGTCCATTCTCCGGTTTCCAATTTCATTTCCCAAACCTCCATAAAAAAATTACTGCCGGAATCGAACAAAGTTAGAGATTTTCCCGTCGACAAATAGTACTTGTCTCCATAATTGTCTTGTCCTTGAGGGACGGGATATTGTGTAAAAGTCTCCGTCTCCACATTCAAAGTCAGAACAAGAGTGTGAGTTTTGGCATCGGTCCAATGTGCAAAACCTTCGGTTGTAGTCGTTTTATTACGGTAGAGTTGTCCCTTTGCTTCGGGAGATAAGTGTTGCGTACAAACATCCCTCCGAGAATTATCCACTCCCACTGTCGCTATAACGCACCGCAAAGTGGACGCGTCTTCGTCGCGGTCATAAATGTAGACCACTTTATACTCCATCGAAGCGGCCGAATACGCTATACTAGAAAAACGGTGGTACGGCATTTGCGGGTAAATTGGAGGGACGACAAAGCGTTGATTTATTTCGGGATTCGTGATTTTATGAGCTCGTTTTGAGAAATTGTCATACTCCAGTATCAAACCATTACAGCTAGCAAACCTGCAGTCTTTACTCATCTCGTAATCGAACTCGGATACCTCGATTTTGCCTCGTCTCATTGCCACAAAAACCAAGGGTTTTTTTTCCCTTTTGGTGCAAACTATAATCAAGGATGAGAAGCCCCGGAGTCGAATGACGCGCACGGTGTGCGTTTACGAAATCACGGCTACGGATAATGTGGGACCACCTACGGCAAACGAGCATGGCATTGTCGTAAATATCCTCCTCTGGGAGATGTAAAAGAACATCGAACACGAGATCGTATGGAAGAGCTCTATAGTTAATATTGAAATCTTCTTTCTTTTGCATCTCCTGTAATAATTAGGGCTACTACAACCCTAATTTTTGAAAGTAAATAAAACTCTTATTATTATAGCATTAAACTGCAAGAATAACAAGAAAAGATTATATAAAAGAGAAAGTACCTCTGATTTGCCCTTTGTGTTCGCCATCGGAGTTGGAACCATGTTTAAATCGGGATCGATCATGCCGACCATCGACGGTGGCGGCGGCTGACGGAATGACCTGGGAGCTTTACCAATTTAAATTAATCAATTACTTATTAAAGAAAAATCTGAGTTTCTTCAGAACTGAGATTGAAGAGGGAGGAAATGCAACTATCGTCTTTCTATGTTTCCAAGTTTCAACTAAATTAAATTAAATTAGGGTTGACTTATTATAGATTAAATTAGGGTTGACTTAATATAGATTAAATTACTATGTTTCCAAGTTTCAACTAAATTAAATTAAGTTAGGAAATTAAATTAAGTTAGGGCTGACTTAATATAGATTAAATTACTATGTTTCCAAGTTTCAACTAAATTAGATTAAGCTAGGGTTGACTTAATATAGATTAAATTAGGGTTAATTAGATTAAGCTAGGGTTGACTTAATATAGATTAAATTAGGGTTGACTTAACTGGGCTTTACGATGTACTTAACATAGTACTAGGACTTACTAAGGTCGCTGGAGTTGAATAAGTACTAGGACCATGGTTATCGGATCGTAAACATATCTCGTATCGTTTTTCTCCATGTCTCGTATCGTATCGTTATCGTACCGTATCGTAAGATATTTAACCAACTATTAAATTAGTAAAAAATATATATCTACATTATAAAAATATTATAAATATGTAAAATTTAATATAACTACTTATTTCAAAATAGGTATAAATTCAAGTTTCAACATCATATTATAAAATATGACAAAAATCATATATGTTCATCAAATAACATCATCTAAGAGGGTGTTTGGCTAGGCTTATAAGGTGTTAAAACGAGCTTATAAGATGTTTAAGAGTTATCTAGTGTGTTAGGTAATTTTTTTCAAAGATCTTAAAAAGTCAAAATATTATAGGCTACTGGAGAGCAAATAAGATTTTTTAAAAAATACTTTAAAAAAATATTTAAGGTCATATAATGAGTAAAATAGCTTGTAAGATCACTATCCAAACACTTGAAAAAAATAATTTTAAAAGTAAGACGTAACAACTTATCAGCTCTTAAAACAACTTATCAGATGTAAGAGTTTATCAACTGTGTAAAATAAGCTTAACCAAATTGTCCCTAAGTTCAAATCCGAATACCTAATTTCTAAAATATTCGATATCCCGTAATTTTGAAGATCAATGTCACTTAAATCGTCATCATCTACCAATTTTAAACAATTGCATTCATTATCATCAATCGCAAAATCCAGCAAAAGAATGCCTCGAATGGGTCTTGAATCGCAAGAATCTATAGAAATTGAATTAGGGTTGTAATATTGTGAGGGTTGGTGAAGAAATTGAAGAGAAAAATGTGAATTAGGGTTGGGATATTGAAGAAATCTGTTCTAAATCGCTTTTCAGAGTAGAAACCTATTTTTTTTTCTTCGTTTTTTTCATTTTTTTAAAGGTTGACTAATATCGTCAATATCGTATCGTGATACAGCGATACGATACGATATCTCGCGATATTTAACGGTATTTATCAATCGGCGATACATAACCCGAGTTGTATCGTTTTGATTGGAACCATACCGTATCGCGATATATATCGCGGTATATCGCGAGATTAACTACCATGACTAGGACTTACTAAGGTCGCTGGAGTTGAATGATGCACATTGCACACAATTTGCGTTTACGAAATCACAGGTAACGGATAATGTGCGCATTGTCGCATTGCACACAATTTGCGTTTATGAAATCACAGGTAACGGAGATGTACAAGAATTCCGAAGTCTTTTGGACTATCGTCTTTTGGTTCACAATTTTTTTCCCTTTCTTCAAATAAATTTATTTCTGGCAAAAATAAAACTGAGATGTTAAATTTGAATCATACTATTTTGACTTCAAACGTAATTTAACCCTTTTCTATTCCGAATCTTGCAAAATTCAAAACACGATAATTGTAAGTTCTGGGCATTGTTCATTAATTCAGTGCATGTTTTTCAAGTTGGACAAGACACCTACCAAGAAATATATAAACAAAAACTATATATATATATATATTGAAGCAACACCATAATATTAGTACAAAAGAGTATCAGAAAATAGTTCTCCAAGAAAAAGAAAAAGGAAACACAAAAAATTGACCAGCCTCAATTCAACCACGCCAAGGTCTTTGTATGGAGTTCGAATTCGTAATTATTACAGTTAGACCCCAAATTGAGAAAGTCGATTTCATCTGTAGTAATATTGTAAGCAATGCAAACACAGCTTGGATGTGAAACACGCAAAACCACCACCTCCGGATATTTCAACCAACTAGCTGGTGCGAGATAGAACAACGTAGGGGACTTTCCACAACGTAACTTATCAAATTCGTTCTTTCGAGATTCCAAGTCAATGGTGCACATCTCGGACCATTCTCCGGAATCCGATTTCATCTCCCAAACCTCCATCGAAAAACTACCGTTGGAAATGAACAACGATAGAGATTTTCCTGTCGACAAATAGTACTTGTACCTTCTATCATAGTCTTGTCCTTGAGGGACGGGATACTGCGTAATAGTTTCAGTCTCTACGTTCAAAGTCACAACAGAAGTGTGAGTGTGTCTTCTCGTCCAATGTAGAAAACCTCCGGTTGTAATTGGATTCATGTACAAGTAATTCTTTGCTTCGAAAGATAAGTGTTGTAAGCAAACATCCCTCCAAGACTTATCCACTCCCACCGTCGCTATAACGCACCGCAAAGTGGACACGTCACCACCATGGTGATAAGTGAGAACCACTTTGTACTTCATGGAAACGGCGGAATACGCCATACTAGAACAGTTCGGGTGACCGAATCGAGGGACATCAAAGTGTTGCTTTGTTGCAGGGTTTGTAATCACAAGCGCATGTTTCGAGATGTAAAACTCGAGTATCAAACCATTACAACAAGCTAAAATGTTTCCCCTCATCTTGTAATTGAACTCAGATATCTCGATTCGGCCTTGTCTCATTGCCACAAAGATCGAGGGATTTTTCTTCTTCTCCCGATTATAATCAAGGATGAGAAGCCCCGGGATTGAATGATGCAGAATGTGTTCGTTTACGAAGTCGTGGGTGCGGATCATGTGGGACCACCTACGGCAAACGAGCACGGCGTTCTCGCAAATATCTTCGGCTGGGAGATTTAAAAGAATGTCGAACACCAATTCGTCCGAAAGAGAATCTATATTTGTCGAACTCTTCTTCCCTTTGCATCCCCTGAAATAATAAGGGCGATTACGGCCCTTATTTTTTAAAACAAAAAAACAACTCTTATTACACCATGGTTATAATTGCATCAAAAAATAAAATAGAAAAATCATGCGTTGGTAATTAGTTTTTACAGTAGTTTTTGCCTGAAACCCTAAAAAAAAAGATATTTAAAGGAGAAAGTATACCGATGAATTCCCTTCTGTTTTTGCCATTGGAGTTGAACCGGTGTTCAAATGGGGATCCACCGTTGCCGCTATCAGCGATCCATCCCTGCTACGGTGACGAGCCGGCGGCGGCGATTGGCTGAGTGACGGTGGAGCAATCGTTTTCAACTACAGTGTGAGTGTTGACTGCCGAGAGCTTCGTTGGAAATAAATTAGGGTTAAACTAATTGACCTAATTGGGCTTCAAGATTAAATAATTTTTTAATGAAAATTCCTGTCAGGCCCATTTTTCAAAGTGCAATTGTCAATTGCGCGCGTGTGTGTGTGAGTGAGTCAATTATCTTTAGGGTTGACTTAATATTATGGGCTTTACGGAAATACTTGACATAGGGTTTGTTTAATTATTTTTTAGGTCACTCACAATTATTGAGTTTTTTTGTTACTTCGAAATCCGAATTTCATTGATATTTAAATTGCAATTAAAATAGAAAATAAATTTAAAAACCTGGAATTCGTAGATGTTTGAATACATTAGATATCAGTACTAGAAAAAAAATGGTGAATTAATAGAAAACTAAAAACCGAAAGAAATCGACTAAAAACTGATCACCTAATATTCATCCATACCAAGCTCTTCGTATATGGTTCAAATTTATGAGAAGAACTATTCGTATCCATCTCGAAAAAGTCGATTTCGTGAGTAACGATATTGTAAGCAAAGCAATTCTTAGTACACCAAACACGGAAAACCACCACCTCTCGATATTTCAACCAACCAGCTGGCCTGAGAAGGAAGGTCATACCAGCGTCCACGTCAGCAAACTGTTTAATTTCGCGCTTTCGAGCTTCAAAGTTGACGTTGCACGTGTTTGTCCATTCTCCGGTTCCCGATTCCATTTCCCAAACCTCCATAGAAATGTAATCTCTGCGAATGAACAAAGATAGAGATTTTCCCGTAGACAAATAACGGTTGCCGCCGCTCTTTCCTCGAAGTACGTGATGATACTGCGCGATAGTTTCGGTCTCTACATTCAAAGTCAGTACGCAAGGGTTAGGGTTACTGTCGTCTTTTGCCCAATGTATATAGCCGTCGGTTATAATCGGTTTGCTTCGCTTCAGGTGATTCTTTGCTTCGGTAGATAAGTGTTGCGTGCAAACTTCCCTCCAAGAATTATGAACTCCCACGGTAACAATGGCGCACGCCAATCCACTAGAACTCCCGTGTACGATCACCACTTTAAACTCCATCGAAGCGGGCGAATACGCTATACTAGAAGAACGAACTTTTGATGATATCCGTCGACTAATAACAGGGACAGCAAAGCGGGTCTTTATTGCGGGATTCGTGATTTGAAGAGCTCGTCTCGAGGAATCATACTCGAGTATTAAACCGTTGCAACTAGACCAACAATTCTTTTCGCATGTGAACTTGTAATGGAAATGCCAAGAATTCTTTTTGCATGTGAACTTGTAATTGAAATTGGATAGCTCGGTTCGCCCGTTTCTCGATGCCACGAAAACCATGTCCTTTTCCATACCACCATCGTGGATGAGAAGCCCCGGATTCGACGAATGGTGCACGAGATGTGCGTGTATGAAGTCGTGGGTGCGGATCAGGTGGGACCACCTACGGCAAAACAGGATGGCGTTTTCGTAAATATCTTCGGCCGAGAGGTGTACGAGAATCTCGAACACCAAATCGTCTGGAAGAGACTCTATATTCGTTATTGAACTCGTCTTCATCTTCCCTTTGCAACTCCTGACAAAATAAGGGCGAATACGGCCCTTATTTTTCGAGATTAAAACAACTCTTGTTATAATATTTCAATCATCCCTTTTAATTTAATATTCGAATATGCTATTTCATGAAATTGAACCTTGAGCTACATATATGTCTTTTCACCACATTAATTATGTTCAATGTTCAATTTATTTACACCGTGCATGCATATAAAAAAAAAAATCTTTTTTTTTTTTTTTTTTTTGGTTTGAGTGAACAAATTGAACAAAGATGGAATTTTTTTTAAGGAAAATTCTAAACAAGAAAAAAAAAATGGGTAAATTCCACTTTACCCCCTCGTACTCTGTCTGAGAAACACTTTACCCCCTCGTACTCTCAATTTCATCGATTTACCCCCTTGTACTTGTACAATTTCCCAATACAGCCCTTTCCTTCAACTTTTGTCAATTTTGACTCTGACGCCGTTTGGTCAACTCTGTAAATTACAAAATTGCCACTGCCTATAACGCGTCGTTTCTCCTCCGTCAATATTGTCATTTCTTCTTCTCACACCACTTCCCCTTCCAAGATATCCCCAAATTGAACCCCTAACTTAGTAAAAATCAAGACCCAAAAATTGATCGATTCCACCCAGTTGAAAGAAAAAAATATATGAAAGTGTGAAACTTTCTCGTTTCTAATCTCGAGAGTCAAAATCAAAAAAATTCAATATTTACGTCAATATTTTGACTCTTGACCAAATGACGTTAGAGTCAAAATCGAAAAAAGTTGACGAAGAGGATTGTATTGGGAATTTGTACAAGTACAAGGGGGTAAATCGACGAAATTAAGAGTACGAGGGGGTAAAATGGTTCTTAGCCAGAGTACGAGGGGGTAAAGTGGAGTTTACCCAAAAAAAATATATATATATATATTTGAAGGAGAAAGTATATATACAGCTGGGTTCTTTTTTCTGTTTGCGACGGAGGTGGAGCGATGTTCAAATGGGGATCCATCACGCCGTCAATCAGCGATCCATCCCTGCTACGATGAGGTGACGGCGGCGGTTGGCTGAGTGACGGTGGAGCTTTAAACATTCGTCTATTAATTGATTTGTACGTTGTGTTGAGTGTTGACTGCTGAGAGCCACGTAGAAATTATAATTAGGGTTAACTTAATTGGGCTTTTAAGATTAAATAATGTTTTTTTAATCAAAATTAATTTGTAGGCCCATTTCTCAAAGTGCAATGCCAATTGTGCTAGAGTGAGTCGACTCACGAGTCACGGCTGTGTTTAGGTTCAACAACATTTTTTTTTATCGTTTTCTAAATTATATTATTAAAATCAAAATTATTTTATCACGTTTCAGTGACTTCGGTCAATGACACTTAATTTTTTTGTCTGCCTTCTTTTCATTTTCGAATTAAAGGCAATAAATAAAATCAAACATTTTGTTGTGAAGAACATTTAGGTAGTTGCAACTTGCAAACCCTAGTTGTCTTTAAGTTCATGATGGTAACATAATTTTCTCTATTTTGATTAGGCACAATTATTTGGACCATATAAAAGGAAATTTGAATAAAACTCACTCAAAGATATTATACATAGCTAACAGTCCGCTTGAATATTTTGAATTTACTAAAAGTTTATTGAGGATAGCTTAAAGGGTGTTTGACTATGTTTTTTTTAAACATCTGATAAGCTCTTATGTTTGATAAAATGTTTTAAGAGTTCATAAGTTGTTAAATCTTATTTTTAGAATTAATTTTTAAATTGTTTGGATAATGAGGTATTACCTATTTTTACTTACTATAAGATCTTAAATAAAAAGGTGGGGTAGAGCCGTAGAGGTATTTAAAAAAAAAAATTATTTCCTTTCCAACAGCTTGTTTAAAAAAAATTAAGATTTTGTTTTTTAAAATTTAACAAACACTTTGAAAGAGCTTATAAGTCTAACACATCTAATAAACTCTTTTTAACACCTTATAAGCTTAGCCAAACACACTCTTAGCTGGACAACTGAGACTGAATATAAATAAGTTAGAGTTTATACCTAATAATAGACTGAAAATGGACAACTTAGTTGAAGGTTAGATTGAAAATAGACATTTCTCGATGAAAATATCATTTTCCCAATGATGTCGTGACAGAAATTAGGCGATCGACGGCATAAGACTAGCTGAACTTTTAAAGGGACTTTTAGCAAAATGCAAAAATACAACCGTCTTTATAATTTAAAAGGGTATATATAAAAAGGAGTGGTACAAAACGTTTATAATTAGTTAAGGGATGTGAATCTTCTTATCTCATGATATGATATAACGTTTGCACAAAGAACCAAAAGTCAAAATTGGTGTTACAATAATTTCCATGGTTTTAATCAAATGCAAACTTTACAAGCAATTTCGCGGTGGATGTCAATTTTTAGACCCATAACAATAATTTTGTGATCTTGTTTCTTTTCTCTATCTCCACATTTTTATTTTCTTTATATAATTTTTTGTTTGTTTTCTACCACTGCAGCAGATTCTTTTAATTTGGTCACCATGTTCTGAAGCCCCCATGAGTGCAAGCGGCCGCATATATATCTTTTCATATATCGGTTTGGTCAACGGTTCGAATTGAGTTATATTTGATAAATGTTGGAATATATAAAGTTTATCTTGAAATATTTGTTCCCAATTTTCATCCACTAAAAAAAATCCAATCAATAACTTTTTTCTGTAACCGGTCCTTTTTTTTCTCGATAATGAAGGAATCGGATACATGCATTCTCGTGTAATAACATGCAAACTATATGAAAGACGTTAAACAACTATGCTAAGTATGTGTGACAAGTTCAACCAAGCGACCGTTGATAAGGGAATTCGAAGCTGTATCAATTGATACAAATTCACTTGTTTCGACCGCTAGATTATCATTTACTGGACTAGACTACGCGTTTCTTCGTAAAAGGGAAGTGGGTGTTGTTTCCATTCAATATTGACCACAAGATCCACATTTAGCATTTATTTATTGATAATAATTTTGCAGTTCATTCGCCAATATTTAGGTAGATACAATTATAATTATTAGGTACCACACACACACAAAAAAAAAAAAAAAAAAAAAAAAACACACACACACTGTAACAAATTAAAAATTCATGACATAACTTTCATTATTTTTATACCAAAAAAATTGCGAATTATATTTTTTTACACAAAAGAATATAAATTTTAATTTATAGTTATTTTTGTTTATTATTGTTATTTTAAAAAAATCCAGAAATAAATAAGCATTTAAAAATAATAAAATAAAGTTGGGTAAAAAGAAAAAAAATAATTAAAGTTGGTGCATATATTTGGCGCAGAATTTACATGGAAGGTTGACCATTTAAGGTGGGAGCATGAAATGGTGTTGGCCCCCCTACAATCAATATTTCTAGTATATTCTGATTTTTCTTTTTCCCCCTTTTAATATCACAATATTTTTCTTATTTTTTATTTTTATTTTATTTAATTCAGCACTTGAGTTCTATATATACTAGAAGACATATATCATTTGTTATGATATTAAAATATTAACACAACAAACTCTATTTTTTGTGAAGAAATTGTACGTTCCCATAATTAAATATGGCTTCCTTACAATATTCATCTCTGAAAAATCCCACACACAAAATCCAAACTCTCCAGCACGTGACGTCATCGTCTTCTTCCTCAAACATCACCACCAAAACCAGAAAAAATGTCCCTCCGAACAAAACCAGTACTCATAATTATAAATTCCAAACAAACAAGCGTACGGCTGCAGTAATTAAAATGGCGGCAACTCTTTCCTCCAGCTTAGAAACCGATCACGACCAAGACGAGCTCAGCCCCGAAGACCACCGCCCCCTCAGCCAAATCTGGAGAGAGATCTCCGGCGAAAACAACTGGCAAAATCTGCTGGACCCGATGAACTCCCATCTCCGGCGAGAAATCATCCGCTACGGCGAGATGGCCCAGGCATGCTACGACTCATTCGACTTCGACCCGAACTCCAAGTACTGCGGCACGTGCAAGTACCAGGGGTCCCACTTCTTCGAGAAGCTGGGCATGGCGGGTCGGGGCTACACCCTGACCCGTTTCCTCTACGCCACCTCCAACATCAACCTCCCCAACTTCTTCCAGAAGTCCAGCGCCGCCGGCAGCGTCTGGAGCCCCCACGCAAACTGGATGGGCTACGTGGCGGTCTCCACCGACGAGGATGAGGTGCGCCGCCTCGGCCGCCGCGACGTGGTGGTGGCGTGGCGGGGCACCGTCACCTACCTGGAGTGGATCCACGACCTCAAGGACATACTCCGCCCCGCCCACTTCCGCAACGACCCGTCCATCAAGATCGAATCCGGGTTCTTCGATCTCTACACCTCCAAGGAGAAGACGTGCAACTACTGCGCGTTCTCCGCACGCGAGCAGGTCCTGGCTGAGCTCCGGCGGATCATCCAGCGCTACTCCGGAGAGAATCTCAGCATCACGATCACCGGGCACAGCCTCGGCGCGTCGCTCGCGCTGCTGAGCGCGTACGACATAGCCGAGATGAAACTGAACATCGTCGACGACGGACAGGAGATTCTGAACAAGATTCCGATCACAGTGTTTTCGTTCTCCGGCCCGAGGGTCGGGAACCTAAAGTTCAAAGAAAGGTGCGAGGAGCTGGGGATCAAGGTTCTGAGAATCGTGAACGTGCACGACAAGGTCCCGACAGTCCCCGGGATAATCGCGAACGAGAAGTTCCAGTACCAGAAGTACATAGAGGACGCGATTTCTTTCCCGTGGAGCTACGCGCACGTGGGGGTGGAGCTGGCGCTTGACCACAAGCGCTCGCCGTTTCTGAAGAAAACGAGCGATCTGCGATGCGCGCATAATCTGGAGGCGCATTTACACCTAGTGGACGGGTACCACGGCAAGGATCGGAGGTTTTGTTTGGTGGAGAAGAGAGATATTGCTCTTGTGAACAAATGCTGTGATTTCTTGAAGGGTGAGTTTGGCGTGCCGCCGAATTGGTGGCAGGACGAGCATAAGGGGATGGTGAGGAGCGGCGACGGGCGGTGGGTTCTGCCGGAGCGGCCGCGTGTAGAAGCGCACCCCGCGGACACGGCTCACCACTTTGAGCAAGTGATTAAGTACGCTAGGGCCAAGCTGGAATTATTCTGATGACGTGTCATGATTATTATGTTATTTTAGTGGTTGTGGTGGTGCTGACTCAGCTACGTACTTCCATACAATAATTATGTCATTTGAATTTCCATTTAATTTTTTTTTTTGGTAAATTACGCCTACACCGTTGAGATATGTTTAAAATAATTACTTTAACGTGCATGTGGTCACATCCCTAAACTAGTTACTACAGTCAAGATTTCATCGCGTGGCTGTTAATACTATCATAGACGAAAATTTATGAATCTTATATTTTAACAATAAGAATTTAATGTTAGGAGAACTATGTCACTCTCTAGTTCTATGTTATCTACACCACTGCGTGAAACTATTAGTCCGTTAGACCGCTAACGGGAAAACTTATGCAATGTATTATTTCGTTAGGGTTTCTAACAATGTTTCAGGTGGGTGATTGTAATTACCGATTCTATGAGAACTTTAAAATTCTTTTAGCATACTTTAGGGGTGTAGATCTAATTTAACTTTTTTTTGGAGTATTAGACTTTTCGAGCAAATTAAACGTGATTGGATGGGTATGAGGAATATTGACGTTGACCCTTTACCCTCTTTTCCAAATTCTTGTATAACAGTAAGTTTTAATAATTCTGAAATGGAAATTATTACATATTATAATTCAAAAACAATTAATGGATGGATAAAATGTGTTGCAAGAAAGAAATTGACATGCACTTGTCAATCATTGTCGTTGATGAATTAATTGGGTAATAATTGTGCTAGTCATGTCAATTTCTTAATCATAAGTTTAACAGGTGGACCAATAAATAATTAATAAGGAGGGACAACTTTTTTTGAGATAATTGAAAACTTTATAACAAACGGGGCAAAAAACAAAAAATGGTAACAAAAAGCATGGTCTCCTCCATGCTTCCGTTAACGTTAACTAAAAGCGTGTTACTTGGCTCCTTTAGCCTTTAGAGTATCTTATTGGACTTTATGAGTTTTGGTTTTTATGTAGCCCAATTGGATATAAAAAAAATAGATTGGGCTTGAATCAAATAAAGCCGGAAGAAGCCCGCGTGTTTCTAGGAGACTAGCAAAAGGGAGTGGGCAGGAAGATTTTTCCGACATCAGCAGTTCGACGGTCAAGTCAATCAGCATCGTGGATGAGCAAAATGTGTACATAGTGAAAATAAGTGTGTATTAGGAATTGTAGAGAGAGTCTTCCCTTGTACTTCAACACTGTATTTATATATATATATATATGTCGTAGGGACATGGTGACCCCCTCCTACTATGTTTGTTGTTAGATCACACATGAGAATGATATGATTATTTTGAGATGTATTTGTCTGCTGAGAACCGCCTTATTTGTTGCGAGCTGAGCCTAGTTCAATGGAGGTGTGATCGCTCCATTCTGAGCCGCAAGTGGACTTTAGCTCAGTCCATGTCATGTTGTAGGCTTTCCCCCTTTCTCTGTCCTTAGGCCGGAACGTAGTCATATCGAATGCTGATCTACTCCACGTGGGGGCTAGTCCCCGACTTTATAGAATGTTAGTGGATAATTTTGTAGTGGGTCTAGACTGTTTTTGGATTTTGCTGTAAAATATTTATTATCTGGATTTTTGAGACAATCAAGTTCGTATCAAGTTTATAACACAAAAAAAAATCATAATTGGGTAAACAAAACAATTATTAAAATGATAATAATAAATAAATAAATAAATAAATAAATAAATAGGAGAACTAAACAAAATATAATGAGGTAAGGCATGTTTTGATGAAATCTACTAAATTGTTTGATTAATTGAAATGGGCCTACTTAGCTATTGATCCATTGGACCCTTGTAATTGTTGTAAGGTCCATAAGTGTAAATATGTTGGTCTTACTCCCTGGGAAAGCCCAAATGACCATGCATAGTTTTTATTTTTCCTTTTCTTTTCTTTTCATTCAATTCGATTTATTATTATATTTTATTTTATCATGCATATGTTTTTAGTAAAATAAAAATAAGTCTATTTTATTGAAAAATATAATATTTATTATATAAACTCTCAAAATCTTTTCCTAAATAACATGAAAATAGAGTCCCAAAAGGGCCAAACATAGCCGGAATATTACCAAGCCCAAATCTTGGTATTGGCGTAGGCTAACTAAAACAAAATTCATCAGGGGCAAAAATGTCATTTAATGTCTGGAGTTGTGGGTACGACGATGTTGAAATTAAAATAAAATAAAATAATGATTGGTTTAATTTGACTAAATAAACCGACAGAAGCCCCAAAATCTTTGGAAGTTGAATCCAAAGCTACCTACTACAGTTGCCAGCTTCTTCTGTTGTTTGTCGATTAATAATGACGTTTTGCAGTTATACCCCTCTGCTTTCACATATTTGATTTTTTGCCCGTCAAATTATATTGATTTTCCAGTTTCAGCCCATTGTAAATTTAGTAAATTTTTATTTCATTCCAAAATTAATTTTTATTTCACAAACACCCTCTCCCTTACAATTAGCGATGTAACAATAGATACTTACAATTTTCACTTTTCCAACACTAATCTAGAATTTGTTATATAAAGGCTAAACTCAATATTTACTATTGAAGAAGAATGTAATATTAGTTATATGTCAAAGTATAATTGATCGCTCAAAAGAAATGACTAGTGAATTTTTATGTTGCACAAATGTAACAACACTATTTACAATCCAATGACAAACAAAATACAATTACAAAAATATGTGTTGTTGAGTGTTAGTTATAATAATTTAAACAAACTTTTTTTTAGCATTGATGAAGTCCATTTGGACCTCCTCAATGTATTTACATGTATTCCAGTGTATTGGTGAGTATTTTTATGGAGTGTGTGTTCTTGGTGTGTTGTGTGCGTTTTCTCTCTTTTTGTATGGTGGAGAGAACTACCTCAGCTGCTGCCCTAGCCCTTTTTTTTTATATCTTTTCCTCTTATTGGGCTGTGTCTAGCAGAAAGAAAGAGAGCCAATTTTGTTGGGCTTTTGTCAAGACATGCATGGGCAAAATAGCCCGGATCAAGCATCATGAAAGTTAAAAAAAAATTAATTAAAAACAAATATAATTGGCTTATTATGATGGAGTTGTATGCACCATTTACCAAGATGCACTAAAAAAAAAGAGAAAATAGATAACTTGGTGGGTGATATTGAGAAAAAAAGTGAAAGATGAAGGACTAAGGTTACAAATAATGGCTAAAAGCCAGTGCCTTGGCTATGTACGACAAAAGTAGCGATGCTATCATATTATATACCGGATAGGCCCCCAAACCCCCCCCCCCCCCCCCCCACCAATCTTGCAAATGATGACGGGGAATTCAATGTCTAATTTCATTACTTGGATTTATTATTATTATTATTATTATTATTATTTAAAGTTATAAGACTATTAGTATTAATTTGAAACATAAAATCTTATGTTGAGGTAATGAAATTATTCTGCAAATGAAATAATCTGACTAAAATGAAATATATTTCATTAAATCCAATTTATCAATCATTAGATTGTTCACAATCATTACCTAATAGCTAAATATACGGCCTGTATTTTAAGGTTGTGCAGTGCAGCATGTACAAAACCTTAAAACAAACAAACTGACAAAAGTACTATCGGAGTATCAAGCCAGGTATGTCTTTATTTTTATTTTTCATTTTTTTTCTTTTTTGTCCTAAATAATAGTATTTGTTAATTAATTGAAGTATAGTAACAAAAATCATGTGACGAAAAAGTCCCTAAAAAAATAAAAATGTAATCACGGAGTAAACGAGGCTTAAGCTGCACCCTCACACACACTATAAAACTCTGCTTTCCCCTAAATCCGCCAACCTAAAACCAACAACATTTAGTAATCAACTCCAAAAGACTCCGCCCTGCGCCACCACCTACTTCCACCAATAAATTCACAATTAACCACTCACACTGATTTCTAGAGAGAGAGAGAGAGAGAGAGAGAGAGAGAGAGAGAGAGTAATTCGTCGCCACCACCACCGCCGCTGCAATGTCGATCTCGGCCACCCTTAGTTTCACTCCATCACCGCCGCGGTCCTTTTCTACACACCGCCCGAATTCGAGCCCCGTATTTCTACCTCCGTCGGTTTCCTTCGCCGCTAAAACGACGAACGCCGTTTCTCTCGTCGTAAATCCAGCACGTGGTTCTCTGTTCACAGCCTTCTCCATCAATTCCGCCGCCGCAGCCAATAGCGAAGTCAATACCAAATTGTCGATTGACGGCGGCGATGGAGGAATCGGAGGCAACAACAGCGGCGGCGGCGGCGGAGGAGGCGGAGGTAATGACGGCGGAAATGAAGGGGGAGATGACAGCAACAAGAAGAGGAACAAGGGCGAAGCTTTAATGGCGTTGGCCGAGGCCGGGAGGAGTCTGGAGAGCTTGCCTAGGGATTTGAAAGCTGCCATTGAAGATGGCAGGATCCCCGGATCCATTGTTCTGAAATTTCTCGATCTCGAAAAATCGGGATTCGTGAATTGGCTAATGCAGTTCGGAGGTTTCAAGGAGAGGCTTTTGGCCGATGATCTCTTCTTGACTAAAATTGGCATTGAATGCGGCGTCGGATTATTCACCAAGGTCACTGTTTTTCATCAACACTGCATTTTCTTTTTTTCGTAATTTGAACTGATTAATCCGTTGTTTTTCGCTTTGTTTTATCTCGATTTTTATTTTAACATCAACGAAATCGACCTTCGACATTGATGTAAATGATGTTTGGTGTGCCATATTCTGATTTTCGTGATTTCACATTATCACTACTTCGAGCAAATAATCGAATTCTATAGCGAGGTTAGGTTAATCAATAATTTTAATTAATTCGAGTCCCCTGCTTCTTTAAGTTGTGCCTTTCTATAAGTCATGATAATTACTTTCATGCACAATTATGCTCGTAATTTCAATGGTCGAATTATTTCAGCGCGTTTCTTTGTACTACAAAGATGTTTATACATTGCCGTTTAAATCGATTTTCTCGTACCATTTTGTGTTAGTCTCATTTTATTTTATTTCGACTTTTCAGACCGCTGCAGAATATCAGAAGCGTAAGGAGAACTTTTTCAACGAGCTGGAAATTGTATTTGCCGATGTGGTACGGTGATCTCTTATATATGTAATTTATTTTGCTTCAATCAGGTTAGCATGCAGAGTTGGATTCCTTTGTGATGAATGGTTTATCTTTTTCGTGGTTTATGAATTTCCGATGGATTTAATTGAAGATTTATAAACTTTTCTTATAAGTGTATATGATATATTAAAGTGTGATCAAATTACTAATGGCTAATGGCAATTATACCCTCTAATGATTTCTTTTTTTCTTTTTCTCGTTTGCTGATAATACGAGTTTGTTTTTATAACCAGGTGATGGCTATAATAGCAGATTTTATGCTCGTCTATCTTCCCGCGCCTACGGTTTCTCTCCGGGCCCCACTTGGGCTCGATGCAGGGCGCCTTGCTAAGTTCTTTTACAACTGTCCAGATAATGCATTTCAGGCGAGTTTCACTTAAATTTCGGTTTATTCATAATTAGCTGCAACGCGGATTAATTGGTGAGAATCTTATTTTATATCTATTAATGCAGATTGCTTTGCCCGGAGCCTCGTTTTCATTCCTACAGAGAATAGGCGCTATAGCGGTAAGAAAATCTCTCTCACATTTTGTCAAATAATTAAAGCAAACATTTTATGGATTTAAATAATTGTGACAATATTCCCCTTTTTTTTTTGGCAGCGGAATGGTGCAAAGCTGTTTGCAGTTGGCACTACATCGTCTCTGGTAATTTCTCGTTACGAATGATCTTAAATTATAACAAAATATTTTTATTTATTAACTTAATTTTTTTTCGTCATGTCTAGGTTGGTACAACTGTGACAAATGCATTGATAAATGCCCGTAAAGCGGTCGACCACTCTACTGCAGAGGAGGTGGAAAATGTTCCCATACTATCAACAAGTGTTGCCTATGGTGTCTACATGGCAGTATCGAGCAACCTTCGGTATGTTATTCTTGCCAAAAAAATTTTTTTTTTGGACGTCTTATTTCGTATATTTAATAATCGTAAATTAAATCGAAACTTTTCTTTTACTTAAACAGATACCAGCTATTGGCTGGTGTTGTAGAGCAACGGATTTTAGAACCGGTCCTTCATCAACACAAGTTGTTGTTGAGTGCTATTTGCTTTGCTGTGCGAACAGGCAACACTTTCTTGGGTTCATTACTGTGAGTTCTTCTTCGCCATTTTTTTCTCGGGTTTTCATTTTTTCTTTATTCTCAAGGATTAAAAATATATTTAAAATTGCTATGCAGGTGGGTCGATTATGCTCGTTTAATAGGTATCCAAAAGGCTCACGATGTAGAGTCGAAAGTGGTAATCGCTAATTGAATAACCAGTTCACCTATTACTTTGGCTTAGTTAGATTTTCTGGTTTGCGCGTTGAACTTCGATCTATGATGGCGAAAATTGTAATCTGCTTATTATACATTCATCGAATGCTTTTCTATTACAGCGCAGATTTTATGTACTCAGCAAACAAGTTATGTATGTGATTTCTGCTACTGATTCTTCTATTCTATCATAAAGATTTTAAATAAGTTTATTCTTCAACTATGGTTTTAAATTAAAACAATTTAATTTATTTCGAATGAGAAAAAACTTTGTTTCAGAAAATGACGGAATTTGGAAATTCCATTTTTTTTTTCACATAGTACATTATAGAATGCATAATAATAATATTTTGTAAATGCTTTTTCTAAAATATACTTGAAATTAAAAATTGGATTGAAAAATATTGTTCCAAATAATAATAAACAAACAAAAAAATTAGATCAAAATCGACGAAGTTCGAAAATTTTGTTTCAATTCCTAGCCTACTCTTCCTTTTGATTTTTTTTTTATTTGCAAAAGGAGAATAGTTACTGTTTCGAATGATTGACCGAATCACGAGTAAATGATCCGAAAAAAAAAAAAAAAATCAATCGTCCCTTCCAAAGTAGGAAAAAAATCACAATTTGATATCAATTCATTAAGCAATAATCTCATCATCCAAACACTCCCTAAATCTGAGCTCCGCCTTGCCACCATCAACACCAACAATGTCGCAACATTCGCATCGATCCATCTGAAAATTCAAAAAATTCAAAAAAAAAAAAAAGCAATAAATATTTTTCTATATAGTAATTTGAATTTCTGTTTAGGTCAATTCTTAAGCTTGATTACCTCTTCACGCTTCGTCGCCGGGGAAAAGACACGAATCTCGGACACAAACTCCGCATTCGGACTATCCGAACACGGCCCCAGCCCACGAGGCGCCGCCCTAGAATAGGTTGTAAGAATCTCCGACGACGACGAGGCCTTCTCAACTCCTTTAAAAAAGAAAACATGCGGCTTTTCGCAGGGGTCATCGGACGGCAGCCTCGTATTGAACATGTAAAACGGCCGATGCGTCTCCGGAGTTCCGACCCAGGGTTTGAACGTTTCAATGGGCTTCTGCAGATAATTCCTGGGCATGACTCTCTCGTATATGTGGGCGGAGTAGCCCCACGAAACGGAGAACGTCCAGTTGCTTCCCCGGTGGTGGCAGATGGTCTGCTGCAACATCCGCGTCTGGTCGGCCGCCGCCGCCTTCATGAGGTGGCGCGTGGACTCGAAGCTGTCCATGTTGGGGAATATTGGCTTCATCTTGTCGAGGTGGTGGAGAGATATTAGCGGTGATTTTGGATGAGATGACAGTAAACCCGATATATCGCCATGTAAATCAATCTGCAATTAGTTAATTAATTAATTAATCGACAATTAGCTCAAGAAAAATGGGACTAATTATTTTATTAACATGGCTGGATAATGCCGTTTCCTCTTGATAAATGTTGTTTCTTGCACGTCTAAATGCATAATTAATGGAATCAAGCGTGCAACCATCACTACCTTAACTGACGGACTAACGTCAAATTGACGAAAATGACTAAAAGTGTTAAATTACTAAAATATGAGGGACTAAATGTGAAATTAGTGCAAACTTGAGGGATAAAAACTGTTTTTTTCTTCGTTAAAACTAATGAAATCAAGCTTGCGGCCTTCACTACCTTAACTGACAGACTAACGGTAAATTGACGGAAATGACTAAAAGTGTTAACTTACTGAAATACGAGGGACCAAATGTGAAATTAGTGCAAACTTGAGGGATACAAACTATTTTTTTTTTGTTAAAATTAATGGAATCAAGTGTGCATCCATTACTACCTTAACTCTAACAATAAATTGACAAAAATGACTAAAAGTGTTAATTATTATAATATAAGAGACCAAATGTGAAATTAGTGCAAACTTTAGAGAGAAAAAAATAATTACCTGATGAATGCCCTTGTTGGGGGAGAGATTGACGCCAATATCAGAAATGCAGACCATAGTAATATAATCAGCAGACCTCAAGTAAGCATATCTCCTCAGACAATTCTCCATACCCATAGCCAAAGCTTTCACCAATCGATAACTCAACATGAACCCGGCCCCACCAAACCCTTGCTGGAACGAAAACCAATAATTCGACAGCACAAACTCCGACTGCCCCCCGATGTAGTAATACTTCGTATGATCGTATTCCGCAAGAACATCGACAATGTTATCGACAAAAAACACCGAATCATCGTCTCCCATTACAAACCATCTTATATCAAGGTTGTCGTTGTTTTTTTCGTTTATCTCTCTGAAGATCTCCATTATTGCATGGACCATGCGGATCATGATCGGAGCTTTAGGTTTGTTCTGTTTCAAGAACTCGGTTAGGTCGTCGGAGATTCTGTACGGCGGCGAGGTTTCAGGCCACGGGAGGAGGTTTCCGGTGGGGGGTTTGTCTAGGTATAGAAACCCTTTTGTTGTGTTTGGTCTCCACCATGATTCTATGTATGATTTTCTGTCGTGCCAGGCCTTTTCCGATCCGAGGAGCCCGAAAACTAGGTGGCTGAGATTCGTCCGGGAGTTGTCGTTAATCGCCGGCGGCGATATTAGAGAAGAAGAAGTTTTCTTGAGATAAGAAATGAAATCGGACGGTGGGTAGTGGTTTTGAAGGGTGAAGAAGGTGAGATAAGAGGTGAACCCTAATATTAGGAGGAGTTTGCCGGAGCCGGCGAATTTGTTTGATGAAAATGGAGAACCCATTTTTTGGGAATTGAAGAAGATTATATTGTATGTATGTATTATAATGTAGAGTGAGGATTAATATATAGTGTAAGAAATTGTGACATGTTTTTGGCCTTTTTGGGGACAACTAATATTAATGTTGACGAGGATGCTAATAATACTATCACTATTTATTACATGAGATTTGTTCTTTGGCAAATATAGCAAAGTTGTAAATGATTTATTCATTCTGAATTAGACCTAATTCTCAATCAATTTTGGCCGTTAAACGGAATATATATAAGCTTCTTCTTCTCGTTTGACCGAAAGTAATTAGTCTTCGCTTTTTCTCTGTCCCCTTATGTACTTCGTTCTTTTGTTGACTTCCCTTGTCTTCTTCCGGCGATATTCGAGTCGTCAGACGGCATCACCAACCATGAATGACCTTGATTCTGAGACGGTTTATCCGCTGATGACCGTTGCATTCTTGGTCATAAATGTATGTCAAAGGGTAACACATACGAGTTTTCCTTCTTCGTTTTAGGTATCCATTAGTTTATGAATGAGAGGTCCACGGTCGGTGAGAGAAATTTGAGTGATTGTGTTCAAGAGTGAAAGAATGTGCGTGTAAGATTGGATCTAGGGTTTGGGAATTGGGAAAGACGTTGCTGAACAATAAGAATTACATGTGTTGAAGTTACTTCTGTTTGTTCTCTCTTTGTTTCTCTCTCTACACTTAGTATATAATCTTTAGTCTTTAATCTCCTTTACTTACGAAACAATATACGATACAATAATTACATTTTTTATTTTGAGGTTATTTGTGCGACTTTCAGCACATTTAAGGGCAATTTGTGTGATTTTCAGCACACACTTAGGGGTGATTTATGTGATTTTTTAGCACATTCTTTTCGTAACAATCTTGTTTTTCTTTTTTTAATTAAGGCAAACCCACACAAAAAATGATTAAGATAAAAGCAATTTATATTAGCAAATGTAATAAAAATCTAAAAACTATAACGTTTGAAACTTATATTTAGATATATTTTGAATAAATGATTTGACTTTGATATATTAATTTTTACATGTTTATCATATTATTATTATTTGGTATATATTTTCTACCATTTTTAACAATTAGCCAAATATCTTCCAATATAATACGATAAATGATACAGTACAATGTATGAAGGAAATCGATACGGCAATATATTACGATATAATAACCATGTTATGCACTAATTAGCCACCACAAAATAAAAAATAAAAAAATAAAAAAAATAAAAGGAAAGGAAAAAAATATAGAAACAGAGGGGAGTTATTTTAATCAAATGGGCATGTATCGAATTAAAAATGGGAGAAAGAAAGAATTAAAAAAAAATAGCAACTGATATCTGTATGTCTTTTTCGTTCACCCTATATCAACTAGCACAATAATCTAAATTACATTTTCCCCCCTACATTTATTTTTTTGTAACAAATTAAGCAATAATCTCACCTAACTTGCACTCCCTAAATTTAACCTCCGCCTTATTATCATCCACCCCAAGGATGTCACAACACTCGCTTCTATCAATCTGCCAAAACAAATAATTATTATAAAAAATATATTCAATGATATACATATTAACTACTATATCATATATTTATTTTATTCCAACATTTACATACCTCAATACGCTTAACAGCGGGTGAAAATACTTTAATCGAGGAGATTGAATCGGCAGAATGGTTACCGGCGGAGGAGCACGGCGGCATGTCACGCGGCCGGGCCCGCAAATAGGTGGTGACGATCTGATCTCCGGCTACGCTTTTGTAGACGGATTCAAGGAAGAACATGTGCGGGGCTTCGCAAGGGTCACTCGACGGGAGGCGCGTGTTGAACATGTAGAACGGGGGTTTCGGCCCCTTGGCCCACGGCCTGAAAGTCTCGATCGGCATTTGGAGGTAGCTTCGTGGATGGATTTTCTCGTAAATCTGCGCCGAATATCCCCATGCAATGGAGAAGGACCAGTTGGTTGGCCGCTGGTAGCAGATGGTTTGCTGCAGTAGGCGGCTCTGGTCGGCGTCCGCCGCCTTCATGAGGTGGCGCGTGGCCTGCATGCGGTCCATCGACGGGAATATCGGGTCCATCGCGTCGAAGTGGTGGAATGTCATTAGGTGGACTTTTGGGTGGGCTGATAGGTAACCGGAGAAGTCACCATGTAAATCCACCTGCAATTATTTTTATTTTTATTATTTATCCTAGCACAAAACATACACTAAATTTGTGCATTTTTAGGGCTAATTTAATGTAAAATAATTTAAAAAAAAAATGAAATATATGTGGATATTTACTAAAAAAAATGATGATTTTTGAATAATTAAAGTAATATATAAAGGTGTCGAATGCAATAAGTCAACAATAATACTACTAAGAATTTCAAATGGCTACATAAAATATATTATAATAATTAAATAATTAATTTTAATGGAGAGTGTACAATTTATATAATAAAGAAAATGCATTTTATTGTATACTTCTAAATTAATAATAAACAATTGAAATAGGGATTGGAAGACTTTCACATATATTATTAATTAAGAAAGTTTCGAATTGCTGGCAAGGCAAAGAGAGTGATGAAGCAGCAAATAAAAATATAATTTCAATTGCCAATATGAATAAAATGGATATTTAATTTATTAATTTATTAGGAATAATTAACTAGTAGAATCAAAATTCTACTGGCCAGTGGCTACACTAAATTAAATGCAGGTGAACGTGGGTTTAGCAGACAACCCGAGGATATTTGACCAATTTCACTCAAAAAAATAATAAAATAAAAAAACTAATCTAGTATTAATCTCGATTAGGGGATTTTGAAATACAATTAAGGAGAATAATTAATTGCTTTAAATTTATTAGTAAAGTTTGTGGTAAATGGTAATAGTCCAATCTGGCGATTTGAATCGAATTATGAATTTTCCTTATTTTATTTTGCACCAAAAAAGATATTTCCAATCGTTGAATATTATTTTAGCAACAAAACAAAAGTGTCTTAAATATTATTTTATAATATAAAATTTTAATTTATATTTTAAACAATTAATATACACCTTTGTCAAAAAATGGTATGTAATTTAATTTAACCTAGGTGTAAATCGGACGAATCAGAATTAAATGATTTACACATTCAATAAAAAATTCCAATTTTTTTCGAAAGCGATTTTTTTTTAATTCCCAATTCCATTTCTAAAAAAATCAACAAAAATCGAAAAATCGAAAAATGCTGACCTGGTGAATGCCTTTGTGAGGTGTAAGATTAACACCAATGTCAGCGATACACGTCATCGTAATAAGATCCGCTGAGCTGCTCTGCGCGTAGCGAATCAAGCACCCATCCATGTCCGCCGCCAGCGCCTTCGCCAGCGGATAACTCAGCACAATCCCGCCGCCGCCGAACGCCTGGTCGAACGAGAACCAGAAATTCGAAATCACGCTCTCCGAATGCCAACCCAGGTAATAATACTTCGTATGATCCAACCCACCAAGAACATCAACTATGTTATCCACGAAGAAAATCGAGTCGTCGTCGCCCATCACGATCCACCGCATATCGTCGTGCTCCTCCCGGAAAAGCTCCAGGATCCCGTGCACCATACGCGGCATCAGCGCGTGCCGGGGCTTCACGTCCCGGAAAATCTCCGACAGGTTGTCCACGATTCTGTACGGCGGCGCGGTTTGCGGCCACGGCAGGAGATTCGGGGTCGGCGCCTGATCCAGGTACACGTAGCCTCGGGTTTTATTCGGCCGCCACCATGCCTCCAGGTATCCCCTTCTGTGCGGCCATGTTTTCACTGAGCCGAGAAGACCGAAAGCTATGTGGCTGAGATTCGTCGGAATCTTGTTCTCGCCGGAGCTGGAGATGTGGGGTTCCGTCCGTGCAGCCGGCGACGCCCATTTGACCATTAAAAGTTGTGGGTTTGCAATATTGAAGATGGGTACGAGGAATACGTATAGAACCACGCCTAAAAGCAAGAGGGTTTTTGTTGGTGAGAAGAAATCTTTGAAAGAAAGTGCATACGCCATTTTCTTGATTTTCTTGATTTTCTTGATTTGGTTTTGTTATGGTGGAGGAGAAGAAGAAATAAATTGATTTAAATAAGGGGCACAGGTTTTGAGATTATGTAGACTTACAGGGTTGTGTGAATCTATAGGTTGCAGAAAAAATGGAAGATTGGATTATACATGTGAATCCCAACACGGCGTTCACAACATATGTAGACAGATTTTTCATTTTTTCTCATGCAGTAAATGCCATTTTCAATAAAGTTTTTTTTTTCTTTTTATATTTTAATTTAAGGAATAAAAATTAAAACCTCCTCATATTTTCCATACATGGTGATTCAGAGTTGAGTGTTTATTACCCTTTGTTATTTATATATTTATGATGACAGGGAGGATAATAATAATAGTTTGAATTGAATTATATGAGACGTAATATAAATAGTCAAATAGTGTTTTAAATAATTATATATATTATTAGTTGTAAATTGTAATGCAGTGGGGCCGGGCATGGTTTGGTGGATATATAGGCGATAAATCGATTCGAACGGCCGGGCACAATGGAACGAGAACGGTAGCTATGGTGGTGGTGCCGTTGTTTTGAGTTAAGAAATGTGACGAGAAAAAAAGTCGATTCGAATGTTGCATACTTGCAATTTAGTTTATTGGATTCTCGCGCCATTTTTTTTATAACGGCTACTTGGATTTACTGGATTTTTCGCGCCATTTTTTGTAACGGCTACTTTGATTTATTGGATTAATTCTCGCGCCATTTTTCATAACGGCTACTTGGATTTATTTGATTTTCGCGCCGTTTGATCGTCACGGCCAGTGCGGTTTATTGGATTCTCGCGCCATTTTTCATAACGACTATATTGTAATTAATTTGTAATTTTTTACGGAAATTATTACTATAATTACATGATAAAAACAAAATTAGGTATTTTATTTTCGATTTTTGGACCCGAGGCTAAAGTTACATAAGATTTTCAAAAGTAAGTAATTTTCAAAATTTTATTATTTTTCAATCTGATTTTGATTTTAAAAAGTAAGTAATTTTGAATTTCAAAGTTACCAAAACACTAATTTTAATACTTTTTTTTTTTATAATCAGCATTAACTGTAAGTCATTTTTCAAATAAATAAATAAATCAATCAAAATTAGTTTTTTTTTAATTAGAAATATTATTTTGCGAAAGTAAAAAAATAACTTGAAGTTGTGATTCCATTTTTTTTAATCTAAATATCCATTACAATTCGAAGAAAGAAAATACATTTAAAAGTTAGTATATTGATATATTAATTATTTAATTAATCACAAAAAATAGGAATAAGGTGCATTTTGCCATGAATTATACAATTTAAGGGTGGATCCTACCAATTCTAAAACTTATAGGTGCATATCGCCAATATTCCATACTATTATTAGGGTGCAAAATACAATTCACCCGTTAAGACCCGAATACGTTAAAATACACACATAGTGTATATAATTTGACTCGAATAAGCTAGATTTATGTGTTAATTGATTCATTAATGTTAATATCACTATTAGATTTATTGAATATAAAGTTTTTTTTTTGGTTTACAAGAAATATATTCCATGTTATAAAAGTCGGAGTCCAGTATTAAATATTTTTGTTCCATTAAACGATGAAGGTTATTTTAGTTTTTCTAATTAAATTGACTAAAATCAAGACATATTTATTGAAAATTTTAATATTTGTGCAAAACAAAAAACGACAGTTAATAAGGAACTGAAGCAGTAGTACTCAATTTTGTGTGATGGCTAGAAAAATGAAGAAAGCAACGTCAACCTTCAAATCATAATTTAATTTTGTCAAATAAAAATTTATGTAGACAAGTTAAAATACATTATAGAACACCATCTATAAAGAAATATATAATTGAAAAATAATTTAAAATGATTTTTGAGTGTGACAATAGATATAAAGATAGGCTTGAATAATTTAAAATATTCATAAATATTATTAAACAGCTTTGCGTGGTCATAAACCTAAAGGGTCCCCCTTGTGTAAATAATTGTTTGTCTCTTTGATTATTCAAAGATGTCACACCGAAAGGGTCAACTTTTCTTTGCAAATTAAGATTTATATAATTTATAATTTGATTATTTATTTTGTTGCGTGTGTTTATTTATTTAATTTTATTTGAAACTTCATTTTTTTATGTAATTAAATTAACAATTATAATATTATGAACAATAAGATCAAGAATTCATGTTCTCCATAGATTTTCTTCATTTTATTGCTTGGATAATTCTATTATTATTATTATTATTATTATTATTATTATTATTATTATTATTATTATTATTATTATTTTGGGATCCAGATCTGGATTTTAGTGAATTCCAGTTCGATGCAAATATTAAAGGATACAATCAGATCTAGTTTTGAACAATGTGTATTTGTCGTTAGATTATGAAAAACGTTGCACATAATACTAATAATATTTCTGACAGGAAGTCAACTCCTCGATCTTAACTTATTACGATTCAATTACCTATTATTATTAATTAGTAATTATTATACAGTTAAACCTCTATAAATTAATACAGTCGAGACTAAATTCTATTAATTCAGCGAATTATTAAATTATCGAGTTAATAATTTGACACATTTTTACCGCCTCGGAACCGAGAGAAACTATTATTTAATTGAGGTTATTAATTTATCGAGGTTCTACTATACACCAATAACAATATCAAAAAGAAAATCAAATAATTACAGAAATTTTCCCTGATTTTGTCAGTCAACAAACATACCCAGCAAGAAAGATACTTGTATTTTTTTTGGATTACATATATCAAAATTTTATTGTTGGACCATAAAAAGATGACGTATAACTATTGTGGACTTTTAATTAAGGACAAAATGCACTTTGCTTCCTAGAAACTTTTAGATTTTGCATTTTCTCCCTTTGAAATTAAAAAATTAGAATCTTTCCCATCCAAGTTTTGTTACAATTGCATTTTGCCACAAATGGTATTTTTCCGATGTATTTTAACTGGTTTTTTCATATCACCGTCAATTGAATGGTATTTTCGTCCTTTCACCAATCCCACCCAAGTACTATAGTTGCCGCTGGTACCGGCACAATTCCAATCAATTTCTCCACCTTATAAACATCTCTCTCGAAAGCAGCGGCTCAACTATCGGTACCTTTCGTTGAAATCGATGGAGATATGAAATAACCGATGAAAAATACCCCGCAGCTTAAACAAAATCTGGAAAGAGGTGAGTTGATCTCATTTTTTAATTTGTAGGAGGGAAAGTGCGAAAACTAGAAATTTATAGGGGGCGAAGTGTATTTTGTCATATAATAATTAATTAATAGTATAATTTTTTTTGAGAAATAATTAATTATTAATAGTATAATAGAAGAGTACAAAATTTTGACCTAGAATCTTACAAATCCCTCACTGTATGAGCTTGGTATATCATGTACAAACAGCACATATAGAAAATTAAAGTAAAAGAATTAATAATTAATCCCAAAAATAAATAAAAATTAAAGCTATGGAGATCCTGTTGAAGCAGATGCTCATGCGATTATTTCATCTGACATGCATTCTCTTACTCTCACTTCTGTCTTACCTTTGTCCTCTTTAATAATGTCACAACACTCACATCTGTCTGTCTGAAATAATTAATTAATAAAAAAACAAATTAAATCAGCAGGCTAATTAAACATATATACATATATAAGTCTCTGACAATTCTTCTCTTAAATAATGCTTATAAACATATATTCAGGGCGGAACCAGGATCAAAACGTAGGGGGCTAGTTAAAATTTTGGGGTTTGGGGCAGCGCATCGAAAAAAAATTTTAGGTTCACAAGACATTGCAAACATACGTTTATATTGAATTTTTTTAATTAAAATGACATATATATTATAATTTTATCATATTTTAAGCGTGACAAAAAATCTAAATTAATCCAAGTTATTCTAATAATCTATCGTACTTAATATTTTGGGAATCCATGGCATTGTGTCATGTTATTTTGTAGAGTCGTTGATAAAAAAAATCACAAATAAACAAATATTCATAAATTTTAAATAATAGAAGTTTTAACCACCATCAAGGTATATGTATGTATATATATATAAATATATCATCTTAATTAATTTTCAAATGTTTTAATAATTAATATTAGAGAAAAAATATTTATATATATATATATATATAAATATATCATCTTAATTAATTTTCAAATGTTTTAATAATTAATATTAGAGAAAAAATATTTATATATATATATATATATATATATATATATATATATATATATATATATATATATATATATATATATATATATATATACACAGATATCTCTATATATATATATATACATACTCGCAGAAAACTATAAATAAATCTAGATAAAAATAAAATTATCAAAATAAATATATATTTGGAGAGTTTTTCCCACAAGATCAATAAATTATTATTTAAGCGAGTTTATCAATTTATCGATGTTTTACTATAAAAGCGAGATATAAAGAAACATTGCCCGGGCAAGTCCACGCGCCTGCAGTATTCGAGTGCGTGAGAGAGACCGCCGTCGACGACAGAGAAAACGAGTACGCATATCGGGCGGGTGTGAGAATCCGCGCCCATGTTTTCAAAGGGTTTCTATACGATCAAGGCTCGTCAAACTCCGAAGAAAGATCGGAAGGAGGGTTTCCAAATATGTCCGAGCTTCTTTTGGGCGGGAGCGGAGGCGAAAGAAACGCGCGCGCATCATCATCGCAGCACACATTTCTC